AAAAATGATGTTTCTGTTTATTTTAACTAATTTTAATTAGTCATTATTTTTCTGGTCTCCGAACCTTGAACCCCGGGTTCAGAGATTTTTCACTGAACCCAAATCCGAACCCATTTTTTTAAGAAGGAGGCTTCTCTTCCCTGATATAATCTCATTTTTGAAATTTTTTAATAATTAATATTAATACAAACACAGCATTCTGTACCTCTTATTTTATAATAAACTAGATAAACATCATTAAAATTATCTAGAATTATTGGTGAATATTTAGATTTAGTGCGTATAACATTAAAATTTAAGAGAATATAGAATAAATATTTTTGAGTTTGAGATTTATTCCCCTATGAATCTTTTCTTAAAGCTTCGAACCGCCTTAGCGATGCGCTAAAGGCCGGGCACCTAGAACGGGTTCGGGCCAAAAATAAAATTCAGATTCTCTAAATTGTGATTTGTCGAACAATGGAAGCCTTTCCACCACATCTATCCCAAATGTTACGAAAAATCTTCTTACCGAATGTTTCCAGAAGATTTCATGGAAAGCATCTCTAAAATTATCAAGAGTCGTTGCTAATTAAGGAGATAAAATTATGGTTTGATAAAAGAAAAAAAGAAGAGAAGTATTTTATATCAAATTTTGAAGTTGCCAGTGTTGTAAATATATTGAATCTTCTTCATAGTGCGCACAAATTGTGCGTTTCAAGTGCTGCGTTGCAATCGCAAATAATGCATTTCAAATGGCCTCGTGCAAATTGGTAAAATTACCGTTTGGCGTTAGCAACCATTTTAAAAAAATGCAAATAGGTTTGCTTTTTCATCACTTTTTTTTCTCTTCGCTTTGTAATATTATATAAATAACTTACTTATATCCTAAAAAAGGATTATTTTAGAAAAATTTAGGAAATAAGAACGCAGACGATAAATATAATTTTCAAAAACAAATCCTTTTTTTATTATTGGCTTTGTAATATTATATATAAATGGAATATAAATAACTTACTTTTATGTCCTAAAAAAAATATTTAGAAATTAAAGAAATAAGTACGCAGACGATAATATAATTTTCAATACAAATCATATTTTTAGAACATATTTAAAATTTTGAATCGACGGATATTAATAAAAAAAAAGGCAACCTCAATATAAACAAGGGATGCGTTACGTTTTTTTATCAAAATGTTACGGCAAAACATAAACGCTCAATTTGTGTTCACTATAAGCGAGGCGCCGACCCAATTGCCGAAGGATAAGAGATATTTCACCGGGGAAATTATTGACCCTCAAGATTCATCTATGAGTTGAAGGTATATTTGTCTTTACCTTGCCAACCAAATCCGGCGGCATTGGCATACGATCGCCTTCCCTACTCTCTGTTAGTGCGTTCATATCCTCTCGCCTATCCTGCGAGCCCATCATACACGCACTCACAAAACATCCTGACCCTTTACTTCCCCAGGCAATTGATCTATGAAAATCTCTTTCATTAGTCGATCCTCCCACATCGGCACTGCAGAAGGACTGGGATAAGCCTCTAGTTGGCAACTCCGTTGCATACCTTAAATCGAGGAGCCAACCCGAGGACCATTCTCTACTCTTCTCCATTTCCGCAGACAGCGGGTATGAATTTCTCGAAGCTTTTCCATCACGAAACCTTGACCAGCTCTTAAGCAATGATGAGCTACGTCACGCCATCGGTCTAAGACTTAATTGTGATATAGTAATACCCTATCACTGCATCCTTTGTCAAACGCCGGTCAACTCCAAAGGCCGTCACTCTTTACACTGCAAGCGCTGTAGAGGCAGATTCATTAGACATTCAAAATGCAATGATACTATTGCCAGGGCCCTAAAATCTGCCGGTATCCCATCAACCCTCGAACCTACTGGACTCTACAATTCTGATGGTAAGCGTCCCGATGGCTCTACCAAGATCCCTTGGAAGAGTGGGGATTCCTAACCTAGGATTTCTCATGCATCGATCCCCTTGCCCCTTCCAATATAAATAGAGATGCTCTAGTAGACGCCGAGACGAATAAACTCGTTAAGTATTCGCCATCGCTTCCGGCCAATTACACATTCCTACCACTAATCGCCACGACTCTAACGTCGTTCGGCTCTCATGCCCTAGAGCTGGGGAAACGGATCTCTACTAGGACCGAAGATCCCAACGAGGGTTACTACCTACGCCAAAGATTAGCCCTCAATATAATAAAATCCAATTACCTCAGCTTCATATTCTCAATGACTGATACCCCCTAATCACAGAATCGGCGATGAGAAAAGCAATTAAGAACAAGAGAGGGATATTCAGATGGAAGTCAACAAAAGAACCAAACCCTATTCACAGAATCGGCGATGAGAAAAGCAATTAAGAACAAGAGAGGAATATTCAGATGGAAGAAGAAAAACTGAAGGGCAAACTATGAAAACTCAGAATTCTTTTAAATCATATGCTCAATTTATTATATTAATTTACTATATATTTATTTATATTATTTAAATATATTATTATTTATCCTTAAAAGATATACTAACAAATGTGATTATTTTTTAAATTGACATATTAATGAAATTTACTATTATATAAAATATTTAACAATTTAAGTTTATAATAAAATATATATTGTTAATTTAAAAAATAAATTATTAAAAATAAAATTTCTTTTCAAGTTAAAAAAAAAAAATTTATAATTTGTAAAAAAAATATATGGAAAAACTAATGTAAATTAAGTTTTTAAAAGTTCGTGGAAAGATCGTTTGAAATTTATATAGGGTAGGTAATCCAAACAGGACGGCATACAATTTCTATAAAATCCGATTTTTAAATTTTAATAAAAAAAAAAAATACCCTTCAAATAATGACTTATAAAGTTGGTAGAAAATAAGACATTGCCGGGGAAAAAAAAAACACATTTAACGCTGACATACATATCTTTCGGTAAAAGTTAATTGGATATATAAATAACGTTTGAATCATTATTTCAAACAAGAAAATAAAATTAACTTTTACAAATTTTCGATACTTTATAAAATATTTTGATTCATAGCAGCAAAAAAAACAAATGTACAAAACAAGGTAATATAATATTATTAAATAAAAAGACCCATTAAAATATAGAGTAGAATAATATAGTACTTACAAATTGTTTAGATTACTAGAGTACGGCACGATTTCAGTCGGGTTTTAAAAATGGCGAACTCCAAATTATGGCCAGAAAAATATTATCTCTGCCTTGAGATTTCGCTAACAGATGTTACAAACCTTTGTGTCATCTATGAGCAAAATATTCAGGCTTGTGTATATTTTTAGCTAATAAATATCAGGCAAGCTTTGTCTATTTTGCTTATGAAATGGGGCAGAAAAGTTTATGTCCATTAACGAAATTTCGAGGCTTGTGTAATACTATTTTGGCTAAAAATCCTAATTCAAAAAAATAGGCGAAATTGGGCCGTTTAACAACAACTAGGTTTGACCCGTTATAAACTATTTTTTAAAAAATAAGCCCGACCCTAGCCTATCAGATTTCCTTCATACTAGGGATCCCGGCCATAATAGATTTTTAAAATTAATAAATAGTACTTTTGATTAAATTGAAGCAAAGTTAACTCTTTTGAATTCAATCAAACCTTTCGAAGACTTATAAACTAGTGATTTGCATCGGGCCCAATTTTTCAAGCCCGGCCCGAATTTTTTTAAAAGTTTTGCCGGCACGGCCCGAAACCGAATTTTTTTAAATTTACCGACCCGGCCCGAAACAGAATTTTTTTAAAAATTTTCCGGCGCTGCCCGGACTTATTTAAATATAGAAATGCATTTTTATAAATACTCAAAATAAAAGACATATGTTATAATTACGTCTAGTTCTATAAATAAAATTAAATATTTTTATTTTGCTTCAGAAAATTTGATATTTGAAATTGATAAATTTAGATATATTTAAAAAAAATTTCCCAATTTTATTTAAAAATATTACGTTCAGGCCGGGCCGGCCTACTTCAGATCTCTAATATAAACATTCATTTCTGAATCATAGAATATATTTGTTTTTACATACTCCGAAATTTCAAAAATTTAAAACATATTTCCTTCAAATATTTAAGGTATTTTGGCATAACAAGATGTCACATAAAACTGCATTTAAAAAATAAATTTAAAAAAAGATTTCCTACCACAAAAAATTGAGAATCGATGAAATTTGTCATTTTTCTCATTTAATATTCGCATTCGAGTTGGCACGGTCTGACCTGATAAATATTTTGATTTTCAGGCCGTAACTTGTGCAAAATATTTGTATGGAACCAGGTCGAAATTTCGCGTACAACGGGTAAAAAGATGTTTAGCGGATCAGACAGGGTAAAAAAAATCCCGCTAAATTGTAATTTGTATCGCATTTCAAATAAAAAAAAAATGCTTATTTAAAAAAATATATATATTGACAACTAAATTCATAAAAATTTCGAAATTTAAATATAAAAACATATATCCGAAACATAATTCTAGAATTTTTTTTTTTTAAAAAAATATTAAGATTTTTAAAACTTGCGAAAGTTTTGAAACTTTCGGAATATTTTTTGTTAAAAAATATTGGACATGTTCTTAAACATTTCGTGAAGGAATATTAAGGATGGGGGAGGTCGGATCGGTATTTGCTATCCGGTCCTCCACCCGTCTAGGATCTTACCTAGGTCTGAGCCGAACGTCGCAAATATTAAATAAATAATATTTTTATTTTCATAATAATAAATTCCTAAAAAATTGACATTTTGTTTATAACATATCATAATAAAATAAAATATAATGATGATATATCCTGGGGGTGAGAGGTGTATATAGAAAAAGTATAAATCGGAGAAGGTCATATGATATCAGTTCAGAAATTTTATTTAAGATTAATGTTAAATTGATAAACTGTGTATGAATATGTATGTTTTATAGAAGGATATCATAACTAGTAAAAAAAAAAATGCCATAACATAAATAATATTAATTTATAAAAAAATTATTTTTCTCCTTCCAATATCCATCATACCTTATACAAGGTGATACGATATTTCCTATAAATATAATTAAATTTATATATAATAAATAAAAAAAAATTATATGTATATTTCATTTTTTTTTGTCGTTTGTGTGAATAGATAAAATTAATATTATTTATCATAAATTGAATATTTTAAATGTTTTATATATATATTTTTTTTAAGCATTTATAATTTAAGTAATAATTAAAATACAAATCAATTTTAATAATTTTTTAGTTAAAATTTCTTGCGATAAATTTTAAAACCTAAGAATATTATTTTTTTACAAGATTACAAGATAAAAAAAAAATACTGAGACATTTCAGAAGGGGTATCCTAATAACAAATATTTTTTAAAAAATATTCTTCATATTCCTAGGGGACAAATTTATATATGTATTTGAGTGGCGGGAGCGAGAGAAGGTCACCAAAAAAAGAGATCGCTATCTAACCCTTATACAATTTGTCATAGGGGGGTGGGTATAAGACCCCGATGACGTTGAATTATCACGTGTCTATATATTTTAACTTCTAATTCATCGAGTTTACAATAAAGATAATATTTACAAAAATAATTGTCCTATAATGGTATTTTTTTAAAAAAAATAATAAAATAAATTAATATATTTTATATTTACATTATTATTAACCTAGTGAATGAATGTAGTAATAAAAAAAAAAAAAGTATATAAAAATAGGGGCTTAAAAAAAATAATGAAAAATATAATTAAATGATTGATGCCATCTACAATTTTCCGATAAATTACAAAAAAAAGGGCATGTATCATGTAAGTTTAAATATCTTTTTTGACTAATAACATGGTAAATAAATATGGAGTTATTAAGGTTATTTTTTTAATCATTCAAAAGATGCGTAATTGCTTGAATCTTTGACTATGGACTAATATGATATATATTATAAAAAAGAAATATGTTAAATGAGAAAATATGTGGGGAAGAGTGATTTAAAAAAATATAATATGTATATCGTACGAAGATCATCTTTTTATAATAATAATCCTTTTTCAAGGAAGGGGGGCGTATTTTTAAATGTTTGCCTTCATTCATTTATTCCTGCCAAGATCTTAGATCTAATACGGGTTTATTGTGCGCGTTAACAAGAAGCGTAGCCATTAAGTTACCATCCCCTTCGCATCCCAGACCGGAAGTGGTAGCAAGGGGGCACCCATCTGATTGTCTCCTGCCATAGAAAAAATGCTTCTTCATGAAATTATTTGGGGTGTGGCTGGCGGTAGTGCTCAAAAATGGGTTGGGTTCAAAGTTATTGTTAAGATAACCGTAAGGGTGCAGCCTTTCGTTTGGGGTCTCTGTCATTCTGCTACTCAGCTCGTTCGGACTATTTGTCGGGTAATTTTTACAGCTGGGTGGATACAAGTAAATGAGTGCTTGAGACAGGCGCAGTTTATCGCCGTTATTGTCGGGTAGCGGCAAGAGGCGCGATACCGATTCGGGAGGATTGACAGATTTTGGAATTCTTGGATCATCAGTGCCGTTTTGGTTACCGACGAATTTACCTGGGTTGACTATAGAGGAATCTGCTATTACGCATAATAATATGAAACAATAATTGAGCGTTAAAAAAACGATTGAGTAAAAAATAAACTTTTATTAGTTAAGCATTGTTGTTTAAACGAACATGGTTGGGTTGATCGAATTGTGCAGCGATTGCTAGAGCAATCCAATGAATTTTCATCGTGAGAATAATTGATCGGAGATTTAAGAACATTTTCGGGCTTTATCAGTTTAATTTTTTTTTTCAGATAAAAAAAACCAAATTATTATTGATAGTGGGTGTGCAGCGTCTACATGAGAGGAAGGTGGAAAGGGGGGGGGGGGGGTAGGAGCAACTTGTTTGTAAGTTTTTTTTAAAAGGAGGAGGGGTAGGCAAATAAGGTGGGTCTTTAGGATTAATTTTTTTCTTTTTTTTGACTATAGACCTATTTAAAATACGTGAATTTATTGATAAACATCGGCCAAATCTAGCTATTGCGTACAATACAAAGAGGTCGGTACAATCTGGCCGGACACAAATATTTTCCGGTTGGGTAAATTGTGCCAAATATTATTTTCGACCCGGGCTGAAGTTTTTATTAAAATCTAGTAAACCCTTTTTTTTATGTTGTTTTTCTTTTCGTTAAAAATTTTTTATTACACGCGCCAAACAACTGGCCACTGGGTATACATAATTACGGGTAGGGCCAGAGATAAAAAAAAATATGCTGGTTCGAGCCTCTCCAAATTCCAGTGAAGGTCATCCTGATTGGTCAATCGGTAGCTCAGGTTTTAGGGCATTTATCCTAAATCCTATGTAAATCGGGATCGCGGTCCGTAAAAAAAATACCGATTTATATAATATTTTATTTTTCCTTTCACTTTCTCGTCGAGTATATTTTTTTAAAGGTAAGATTATAATTTTCATTTACGACGCTATTAGCCGGTACCAAATAAAACGCTATATATATCAGAGACCTGCAGAGGTATCATTTGCACGACCCGATCCAACCCGGATTTTTTTCGACCAGGGTTTTATATTTTAAGTCTAGGCGATTTTTTTAAAATATATGATATTTATTTTTGTTTTTATAGCTATTAATGACGATATTTGGTTTTAAAATATATGGCTCAGCCAGGTCCGGGTATTTTTTTTAAAAAAATTTTTTCAGGACCGACCCGGGAATAGAAATTAAAATACGGCTCTGTACCAGGGCCGGACCTAAGGTCACTGATATATATGGTCTCAGCACCTAAAGAAATCAATACAAATATCCATAAAAAAATATTATTTATTAGCATAGTGTTATATTGGACAAAAAAAAATTCCCAAGGTTAAGATTTTATATTAAGCCATTACAAATGTATTTCAATCATGATAAAAAAAAACTTAAATCTATATTTCTAGTATTTATTCCATAGTCCTACGGAGCCAGACCGGAAGTAACGTCATCAATAAAAAAATATATAGGATTTCTAGTATTTATTTCCCTAAGGAGCCAGACAGGAAGATCATCAATTAAAAAAATATAGGCACATCGCTAGCCCGAAAAATAATCATCAACATATTTCTTTCCTAATTATTGCTTGATAAAATATTAAAAAAAAAATAATAAGTTTTTTTCAAAGGAAAAAAAGGGAAGTAGGGAAAAATATTTAACATATTCATTTGCATATCTATAATGATTATGTAATAAAATGTTAAATTATCAAATATTATCGCTAGATTATTTTACGGTTTTCTTGCCTTTGATAAAAGCTAATTTTTTTTAAAAAATTAGGATTCGCGCCCGCAACGGACCTAGATGGTTACGACGGACGCGTTAAGACCAAAAAATTTTCTATTTTCTCCAATTTATATTCATCATAATAAAGCTAGGGTCGATACTCAAAAATCAGAAATAGACGTGGGGTTAAAAAAAAAAGCTTGATTAGAAGTTACGTTTTGGTTGAAGGTTTGAGGGGCGGGTTTGTGAGATGACCTAAGATGTTTCAGCAGCGGAGACCTGTCGACGTTTTGATCGCAAATTTCGCCGTTCAAATCGCCGCTTATCAGTTTGGCGTATTCGTAATTTTCGGTGGCATGTTGAGATGGGAAGAAAGGGGCGTCCACGTTGTTGGCATTAAGAATGTGATGGTTATTTTCGAACTGGGAAACTTCGTCGCCTTCCGGAATGGTGGTCGCCATGATGGGCGAATTTGGCAGGGTGTTCCTTTTGCGACCGCCTCTATTCTTGAGATATCTTGATGGGGGGGGGGGGTGGGTATTTTAATGTTAGCTGATTATATTATAAAAAAAAGAGGTTTTTGGTTCTTACATTGAACATTGAGATCAAAATAAATCACGAAACTTTGGCTTAGAATATGGATTCACTTATAAAAACCAATTTTAAAAAATAGGCGATTCTAATATTCGTCCCCTAGTCCGAGAGGTGGAAGGTAACAAGATAATAATCTAAAGACGCTACTTGCTTAGTCAAAAAATAATTGAAGCCTAAAAATTCGCGGCAAGAGTTGTTACGAGCGATTTTCTAAAATTATTGAACAATAAATAATTTTAAACCTGTACCCTCTTATTTGTTCTTGTCAGATTAAAATTTTTGGAAAATGTATTTTCTATTTTCTTTTTTAAATGTTGCCAATAAAATATTATAAAAATTTTTATTATCATTTTTTTGGTATATATAATAATTTTTTCAACCAGGGCTTTATCAGATCAATTTAATAAAAATATCGACAGCCCTTAAAATATTCAACTTATTATAAGATACTTATTAAATGGATCTAGATACAGCTACATCATCTAAAAGGTTATCTAGAAGCAGATACAATTTTTATTATACTCTTATGTAAGAGTTGCATAAACCTAAATTAGGATTCTATTGTGAAAATTCATGAAATGAGCTAAAATATTTATTGACTCGATATCACATATTTCAAAATATAGGGGAAATGTGCCATAAATGGCCATATTTGAAGACTGGCCCACCCTTTAACTTTTTATCTTTTGTATCTCTAGAATGGTCAAAATGTGAAAGAGCAATCCAATAAAAAAATATTTTAAATAAACTGTTTTTGGTACCTCTTTCTGGATTTTAATTTTATACCAAACTTACATGGAATCATAGCCGAATTACATACGTGAAAGGAAAAAAAACAAACCTGTTTATGTCTTCCTTGTACTTATCGGGAGAGCCCCTGGTTTTATCGGGTTCGATATCCATAGGCATTTTGAACCGGGGATCGAAGAACTTGGAGGAAGATGATTGATTAGTCGCATTCAAATGACAGCGCATGTCTAAAAATTATTTTAAATCAAAATCGATTATTTAATTATTTATTTTTTTTTAAAAAAAAAACAGGATAATTTTTAGAGAATATGGTTTTTGATATTTCTTTTTCTTTACTCAAATGTAATTTAAAAAAAAGATAATTTACTGTATAAATTAGACAGGTTATAATTCAGCGAAAGAGACTGATAAGCTGATGGTATGTTTGGGTCATTGTTTAAATAATTATAGTTATTATGGATATAGTTGTGGTTGTTATTATTATGATTGCTTAGACTGTTGCAATTATAGAAAGGGGAGTAGGTATTCCGCGCCCACCACATCCAGTAATGCGAGTTGAAGAGGGACAAATTATCGCAAGCGAGTTTCTGGCCCCCAATTTCGAATCCAGTATCGGACTCGGGCGGCACGGGAATGTTGCCAGATTTTGAAGGGGTTTTCGGCTCGTTCTTGTTGAGGCTTTGCAAGTACTTCAGGTGTTGCAAATGGAAGAACTGCTGTTGCTGCTGAAAGCTCAGAGATAAGGCCTTTTGGGAATGCAGCCCGGCATTTTCTGGCAATTCTGATCGTTAAAAGAAGAAGAAAAAAGGGTTTATTAGAGAGCGATAGAATATACGCATAGTCAAAAGTCCGATTCCAGCAAATTGAAACAGGGTAAAAAAATAAAAGAGGTTACTCTGGCCGTAGCCGTATCGGCAAAGGTATTGCTGGTAGTAAGAAAAGGGGTCCAAAACATTATTACGATGTACCGTCGGATTCAAATGCTTGCCGTTATTGATTTCGTTGTTGATATTGTGGTTTAACGCGTCACCGGTATTTGAGCGAATAGTATCGAATTCTTGAGACAGGATGTTTGTTCGCTCATGACCTATAGATGAGTCCACTAGGTTGATTAGGGTCGAAGTAGAATCTTCGCCTCCTTCCGTACTTGTTTAATAAATAAAGAAAATTAAAATTATTTTCTTGAGATGAGAGACATTTGGGATCTAAATTCAAATCGAGTTTTATATAGTTGGAGTAATGGGTGGGGGGGGGGGGGGGTGGATCCAAACTTTATCGAGATTGGCTGTTCGAGATTTGAACTGAAAAAAGAAGAAAAAAGATAAACGATTCAAGAAAATTCCTTTATAATATATACCACAGTCATTCATTTAACAGCTTAATCCCTAAATATTTTTTTTAAATTCATAGTCAACTTGCCCAAAGTTGTTTTTCCCATCCCATCTACCATTGGCCGATTCTTATTCCCACTTTCAATTGGATGCTAATTAAAATGATATTTTTATATACTTGTTAATGTGCAGCATCCTTCTCCTTTGCTTGGAATTGTCGAGGAAACGTTGAATCGGGTTGGTAAGAGTTAAATTTTCGGTTGAAAGTTCCATAGCCATTTCCGTTTGTAATTGATTCTGCAATTGGTGAGGGTGGCATTCATCTTTATAAAGTATGATCATTAAATATATACATGAAATATCAAATTTGCTTATGGGTTAGAATAATCTACATTTCTATATCAACATGAAATTAAAGAGATAAAGACATTTGTAACCATGGGAGGTCGGTTCGGAGGTGGTCATTTCTACTGTATGCCGTCGCATCGCCAGGTAGCGGGCCAGCGCCTCGGGCCTCGGCTCCTCTTCTGCTTCTGGAACGCTCCCCGAATCTTCCTCATCCCATTCCGCCTCTTCTCCCGTTTTTTCCTTTGATTGGTGGCCTTTATCTTTTGACGATTCGTTTAAATCGTGTTGCTCGTTTTGTGAGTAGTCCCCGCTCGACTCCCTCGGCCTTTTACCTTTGTGGGCGGTGCCCGTATTATTCGCTATATTAAAGGCGTCTAAGGTTTCGAAACCGCTATCGAATACCGAATTCGGATTAATTTTGGGACCAATGGAGGAATGGTAGTTCAACAACACGGAGTTCTGGGCTCTTTCGGACGACAGTAGTGTGCCGTTATTTGCCGCGAGGAAAGATGCGCTGGGAGCGGTCTGTCGTTTTGGCTGATTCTAGTTTTTGTTTTATATTACATATTCAAATTTTTTTATAGCAATACAGAATCAATAAAAATATTAACTGACGAAATTAATTACAAAGATAATAATAAAATTATTCGTTGTTCTTCACGCGATAGTTCAAATTTATTTTATCAATTATCCATTCTGGATAATCTTTATATTTTGTCTTGGAATTTAAGCGTAAAATTAAAAGCAAAAAAGGAAGGATCAAATAGTATGGTGACAAATTCGACTTTCCAAGAGGTGCGAGATAAAATATTTTGTCCCAATCCTCGAAGTGATCATTATTGATTTCTTGGGGTTTATATTGCAAGTAGAACCCTTTATCGGTTTGTCCCGAATACTGCGGTTATGGCTCAGGTTCCTGGTATGATTCCAGTTCCGGTTGTAAATTCTGTTAATAATTAATTGATTGGGCCTTTTCAAAAAAAATTTTGGTTTTCAGTTTCTAAACTGACCCGAATTGGCTAGAAAAGAGTTTTAACAACGGGCCCTATTATTTTCCTTAAAAATTCGAAAACTCTTCTTTAAAATTTACCAAATTAAAAGCGGCTGGGTTGTTGGTGATCGACGAAGGTATGGCGGCCATTTTCGAAGTCACGGAATTCATGATCTTGTCGTATTCGGTAGAACTATCTCGAGAGGGCAAAAACTCCGTTCGGTCTTCTTTTTTTTTAAGTAAATTTAAAACATTAAGTTGAAGATCATAATTTTTATTTAAAATTTTAATTTCTTAGGCTAAGTTTTAACTAGTCTTTTCTTCTTTTTGGAATTTCTGTATAACTGTCTAAATAGAATATTACACCGCGTATTTTAGTACTATCTGTCAGAATCTATATTAACCATAACCCTAAGGTTGTTCAAAGCTGTCTATTCATAAATTAAAAACAAAATTAAGACGATCTGGGGACGAACACTTAATCATTTTTTTTAAATTAAACTTTGAATTCCTAGAAATTTCGTGGATCATTTTTATTTTAAAGGAGTGATCATATGTGTTGTGTTAAAATGCCCGATTTGAGTCGATTTTTTTCAAAACGACTGTAAGATTTTAGCTAAAATAATATTATCTAGGCATCGAAGATTTGGCAAATAAGACGTCATATTAAAATTTGACAGCTCCGATGTGGCTCACTACCGAACTGGAAGCCAACCTATTGCTAGTTTATTTCATTGTAAAAGATAAAAGTATGTTATATTAATTATTTTTTTTAGCAGGACAGCATTAACCCACCCACCCCATCCCCAACCCACTCGTATTTATTTATGAATCAACATTTATCTTAGATTATGAGAGTGGGAAAATACTTTATTTTTTTTAAAAAACAATTTAGGATTTAAATAAATATTTGTTTGAATATGTAATACTTAGACTTGTTTGATCAAACCATGTTTATAAATAAGGATAAAATTTTCAGTTAAAATTCGATGTAAAAAAAGCGGGATCTGATTGGTTCTCGTTATCATCCATAAATAAATGGGATCGAAAGGAACATTCAAGTTTCAATACTAATTATGTGATTTCATTGGTGGAGAAATCGTCTTTTTAATCGAAACTTTAAAAGTTCTCCAATCATGAGATATCAATTAGTATATTTCCAATGACATATAATAATACATAGACTTACGATGCGTTCATAATAATGCATTTGAAAGCGTCGTAGAATGCAAATCAGCTGGACTCGCCATTTTTTGGTAACCCATATAGTAATTATTCTCAAGTTAAAAAACTACTATTTAAAAATTGATAACTTGCTTCATTATTAATAGTTTGCGTCAGACCGACATAGGAATAAATTGGCATCTCGTTTAAAATTTTTAATAATGATACGGGTAACCAAAATGGCGTCTCCAGCTGTTTTTCATTGATGTACACTATTAATGAATGCATCGTGATATTATTATTATTATATGTCATTGTATATTTCGCGAGTTTTGCTAATCATTCTCTTAAAATTTAAAATTAAATATACAAAAAGACAACCTTTTTCTAACCCAACCAGATGAACATCGTGCTGCGAAAGTTCTTGCGAATTAGTGCGAATGACCTTGAGAGTTTTGTGGTACTTGTCAAGCAAGAGGTGATAGGTCGAGTAGTAAGAATCAAAAGAATTTTTGGTCACGGCCTAATACAAATATGCATAAGAAGGGGGAGTTAAAAAGAAAATTTTTTTTTTAGAATAAATTTAAAAAATATATATATATTCACAAAAAAATCCCTACTTTATGGTTTTCTAAAATCTTCGAGTTATTACCATGTCAAGGGCAATCGGCATAAGGGAAAACTGCCAAAAAATTCAGGAGGTCGCTTTTTTTATAGTATCAAAATGACGGGAATGTGACGACCTAAAAAAAATGAGACGTGATGTGGGCCGAGTTATTCCATGTAAGAATAGTGACAATATACGGTTCGATTAGGACCGACCCAAAAACCGAACCGATATAATCGGGTTGAGTTTAACCACTCGCAAAGAACAAAGGGATCGAGTCGGGTTTATGATATGACTACTGTTAGAAAAATAAAGAAAGTTACGTAAATTAATTTATTTTTGATCGCTAACCAATTGAAAAAAAAAAGGAAGTCAAAAAAGAATAGCTTGAATTGAAGGGCTAAAGTTTATTCATTTTCAACCAAAAAAATTGGATCGTGGAGGAAAAAATTCAAAATATAGTTCCTTTAGAAAAAAAAACCTGAACAGTTTTCGTTAAATCATAACCAAGGAGCTCCATTATCCTGAGTATGTGTCCATTTACATTACCGGATCCTTCTGGGACTCGCGTCACGCTTTCGTTCCCCAATCCGACTGCCGTGACCCCTTCGCAGATCTTCCCTCTTGTTTCTTCCAGACTTAGGGAAGAATATTCGAGGTTAGGTTCCCTGTCGAAATTTTCCGAAATCAAGTATCGGAACATGCCGTAATCCTGATTCTCCACCGGGCATGCAGTTCCGTTCTTAAGGGGGTACCCTTTTAACCAGGGGTGCTCCACCAATTTAGCCAGCGAAATTCTCTTGTGAGGGTCGAGGACTAGCATGCTTTTTATGAGTCCCTCGCATTCTAAAACGAGAATAAATTGAATTGTAAACAAATATTTTATCATTTATTTATCCTTCTAGAGGATGGGGACATAATTGACCAGTCAAAAAATCTACTTATATTTATATATACATACATGGTTTCGATTTATCGCAATTTATTTTAAACTAAACCTCTTTGGATCCTCATTAATCTATTAATTTATTATAGCGCCAAAATTTTCAGCGTAGATCCCTGCAAATAGTTCAAGCCGAGCTGATATTTATTTTTTAAAGTAGTCCGGGCTCGGGTTTGAAGTTAATTAAATATAGGGGCTGGGTTTAGCCAAAAAAAATTGAACTTGCAGGGCTCCAGTATAACGTAATATAGCGAGCGGATAAGTAAAAAGGTTTTAAAAGTTTTCATAGCGTTTTTTTAATGGTTACCCGTGGACATGTAAAAGGGTATCCTGATTTTTCCGGAAAGGACTCGATTCCTCAACGTTTGGAGGTTTGAGCTGTCGAAAGGAAGGGCACCGCATATTAGCACGTATAACAGAACTCCCAAACTCTGTAGTAGGAACGTAAAAATATTTTTTTAAATTTAACTATTGTTACCTTTTAGGAACAAAATTTTTGTTTTCTATATATATTTCTTATAACATTTATTAGAAAACAAAATAAAATTTTTAATCATTAGTAAAAAAAATAAAAAACCCAAATATCAACGTGAGGTCCAAAATACTCGCGACCTAAAAATAGTTCGGGCGCGGCGTAAGGCGGACTGCCGCACCAAGTAGTAAGCAGCTTGTCTCTAAGGAAAAAATTGCTGAAGCCGAAATCTTTAAGGAAATGGTTTTTAAACAAATAATTTAAAATATAAACTGGGGGAAGGGAAATTTTTGGGTTCGAGGAAAATTCCCAAAATATTTGGGGGGTGGGGGAGATATTGGGGTTTGTTAAAATCCGTCCCTTTTTTCAAATTATGAAAGCGTTTAGCTGTGTTATAAAGAAGTCTTTAACGCTGCATTTAATAGTAAGCGCGATTCGCTCAATCAAAATCACAGCTGATTCGTTATGGGCGATAATAAATATTAGTCGGATAAGACAGGTCAGAATAAATTTTGACTTGGTTTACAATATATTTGGCAATGCTTTTGACTGGCATCCGATTTTTTTTAATTAATCGTATTTTGTTATCTTATTTCTAAATTTAATAACATAGTCGATACCCCCCCCCCCGCTAAGAAACAATTAAATCAATTATTTTGGCCAATATTAGTGAAACAAAACGACGATGTCGTGATTAAACCGTACTATAGCGTTTTGGCGATCGAGTGCATGATGTTATAAAATAAAGCAGCAAAAAATGGCCGTCGTAAAAACATTGTTTTTCAAACAATAAGCGCGAATTCGCGGCGAATTTCAAAAAAACCGTCACGATTTTTACGCTAACTGTGAATGCGGGGTAATTCAACGCGTTTGCGCGTTAAAATTTTTAATCGTTCCGTTTTACAAGTTGTTATATATTGAATACGAAATAATTTTCGTAATATATTTTAAAAAAAACTACACTTGTATAGTTTTGATAAATCTTTTAAAATTGACTACGAAACGCTGAATTTTTCGATCGCTCAAAACGGTAAGATATGTAGCGTTCTTAAAAACTAGAGGTTTATAGGAACACTTCTTGCATGTAGTGTTGTTAAACGGCTCCTCGTCTTGAGCCGATTTTTTTAGGCAATATTTTCCTGGCTATAATTTTGTGTTAGCCGTTTTAAAAAAGTCGGCTCAAAACGGACCGTTTAACAACACTATTTGTATGGCTCTAGCCTTGCATTTTTCACTCATCCATCCTCCCCGATTTTAAGGTCCATACAAGACCGATATTATTTTTTCCAGCCAGATCGTTTCAAAAAAATTTTGGTTCAGCCCGGTCAATAAGAAACCAGATGGATCCTATTCAATCCTACTACTACTATGGAATGGAATTTTCAACGGAGGGCACTTAAATATTTTTTTTATTTTACCAGCTATCTTAACGTTGAGACCAGCGTCCAATAGCAAATTTTCCGCCTTGAGATCTCTGTGCACGATATTGTGTAGGTGACAGTAATGAACGGCGACGATTATTTGGCGAAATTTTTTCCTGGCTTCTTTCTCCGACATTCTCCCGTGTGCCACCAAATGATCTTTTTTTTTTAAAAAGGAAGAGTAATTCAAGTTTCTGAGGAGTGGGTTTATACGTTGGGTGAGAAAAGATAAAACGAGGGAAGGGACAAAATATCGTTAAGAAAAATGGACGATAGGACGATTTTAAAAGGGGTTAAACTTGGGTACCCATTTTATGGGTATTGTTGCGTATGTTTAAATTTTGGAGTATCGAAATTATCAGAGGGTAAATGGGCAAAATCTGAAGATGTACTTAATATAACAAATTTACCAAAAATCTCTCCGCCACTGGCGTATTCCATGACCAGGTATATCATCTTCTCCGTTTCCATCACCTTTTGAACGAAGAAATGTATAAAATAAATTATTAATATTTTTTAAAAAAAATAATTCAATATAAAAAAGAGAGTTCGGAAGAGACTAATATCTAACGGGAAACAGGAAGCGAACAAAACCGGAAACTTGTATACAGTGTTATAAAGAAACATTTTATATTATGCAAATAAGTTTTAAAAAAAATATATCTAACCCTTTAGGTTCCCTCATAAAATTAATATGTTGCAACACGATATTTAGTAATTTTTTTATTGATTCTAGTATAATATAATATAAAACACACAAAAAAAGTTTTTTAAATTCAAAATGGCGGCTCTCCCTGGTGGTTTCAAATTCATATCATTGACACCTTATGGAAACTTTCGAAACAGTTTCTATTTTTATTTAGACATAGTGGTACGTTGCATGATTTGCACGACCACCTTGTTCTTCTGGGATTTAACTTTGTACTACAGAAGGTACACCTTCGTGAGGTTCCTGCCTGAGGTTGGTGAGCTGAGTTTTTTAGTCTAATTTCTGGAAGGATATAAGCTTTATTATTTTTTCTTTGCATTGATATATAATTATTATCATTATGAATATTATCATCCCTATTAACATTTTTACAGTATGCCAATTCGCTAGCAATTATTTGTCTTCGGAATTCTTTCGATGAGAGTTTATTATCTGTAAGAATATTGTATATTATGAATGAATTGATAATCGCCGCATCTATCAGCCAAAAAAATATTGGTAGTCACCATTTTCGCCACTTTCGCGAAATTTCATATAAAGACTTGAAATGGTCAACAGACCCCATATATTTATTATACATCTTTATCATTATTGGACATTTTACGTCAAATACTTCCCCTTTTTTATTTTTTCTCTTCACAGTATCCACTGATCTCGGATCAATATAATTGGGCATTATAAATAGGTCACGATTATCTCGCCATTTAATTATACTTATATTATTTTTGTCACTTCTCCAGTCAAACTCACCTCTTTTTAATTTTGTTTCCATATTCTTTATGGGCAAGTATCTCCTATTTTTGTTTAGTGTTCCGGTAGCATATATACCTTTCTTTTTTAAATCGATCAATTTCAATTTGATAAGGTGTATCCGATTCATAATCATCACTATCAATTTGGTAACGTGTATCCGATTCATAATCATCTTCGGAATCAGTGGATGAGTTGTCTAACGAAGAACCTTCAGATGGAATGTCCAGATAATCATCCATATATATAACAAGCTAAAATTATTGCGAAATGAGTTGGCAAAATTTATCAATTATTTAAAAAAATAAATATTAAAAATATTGTTGTTAAGTGGCAGTGGTTAGTTTAATATACCACATTAAAGAGATCAAAATAATATATAAATATTATTTATTTGAGCAAAAATAAATATTAGAAAGATAGATAAAATAGTGAGGAATATATACATTTAAAAATATTTGATAAATATACTTACTTATAATTAAAATTGGAATTTTAAGAAAAATCATCGTAAAAAACGTATTTTGAAATAAAGGCGCGAAAAAAAAATTAAAAAATAACTCCTCCACAAACATATGAAAAAGAATATCTTTTAATATATATTCGTGGTGGTTTCATTTTATATGATTAACTCCTTTAGAAGATATAAAGGTTAAAAGGTGGTTTTATATTTGCACTACCGCGACCGAAAGGGTTACATCACCTTTTGAACGAAGAAATGTATAAAATAAATTATTAATATTTTTTAAAAAAAATAATTCAATATAAAAAAGAGAGTTCGGAAGAGACTAATATCTAACGGGAAACAGGAAGCGAACAAAACCGGAAACTTGTATACAGTGTTATAAAGAAACATTTTATATTATGCAAATAAGTTTTAAAAAAAATATATCTAAACGTTTTCCATCAGATAAGCATTGTAACTCTATAATATGACGCCTAAAAATTCGAATAGGGAGGGGAGAATGAAAATCTTAAAAGGGTAAGAAGATATTAGCCGCTTTTCTATTGGGTCGTTTATATAGGTAACAAGAGCGAAAAATATAATTTGTAAATAAAATCATTTATTTATTTATCAACTTTTCGATAAATATATCTTATTCGTGAAACAGGAATCATATGGTCCAAAAAACCGCCGGAAAAAAAACTCTGCTGGTGAAAAAAACACAGAAAATAACCCCCTCTCGAAAAATTTGAATAAAAATAATATTTTATTGACGCCTAAAAATAACACCTTTTGAAATTTTCTCGCATAAAAAATATGATCCCTTCACCCAGCCTGATACCCACTCTCGTTACAACGGAGCCCTAACCTGTCTATCAAGATGGCGCTCAAATTAAATCGTTTAAAAAATTCCGCGAAAAATATAATGACGACAAACTTGGTATAGACGGATGATATGCGGATGCCTAAGGATTTTGAGTATTTGAATCTCCCGGTAAATTTTGGATAGGTTGTCTGGGTCGAGCCGAGATTTGTCGATAATTTTTATGGCCACCTGGTTAATAATTATATTTCAAAAAAGGTATATTTTGAAAATGAATAATAAATTTTTTTTAAAGAAAGAAAAAAAAAATAGGATATTATATAAAAAAAATAGAATAGAAAGAAAAATGATTAATTTTAACAAATTTACCGTCTAAAAATATATAAAATACTGTCCATTTAACCCACTCCCCTACTCAAAAGATCAGCCCTTTTAAATTAAATGGATAGACGTCTAGAAAAATGTCGGGTGGTGGGGAGGGGGGTTAAATTGTTTTTTTTTATAAAACGTCATCTAAGGTTGAATTTTTTAAAAAAATAACAAAATTTATTTTCACAATCTATATTCAATAAGTGAGAGGGATGGTTGAGCTTTAAAAAAAACCATTCATTCATTCGTTTCTTTTCTAAAATAAAATTTTTTTTCTCAGACAAGGTTCTGGAGATAGGACAATATAAGTTGAAGAAAATTCTACTCACCTAATAATCCTCTTTCTTTAGGTCAAAGACATATAAATATAAAAATACCTAGCAGGCGCGTACGCAGGAATTTGGTCTGAGGGGGGGGGGGATAATAAATTTTTTAAGAAACATTGTTATTTAAAAATATCAAGCATAAATTTATTAGGACTAATAACTATTTCTAATACACAATTTTAAATTAATGTGATTTAAAAAATATTAAACGGATATAACTAGCGGTATAGACAAATTATAAAATAAATGTGAATTATAAAATATAAAGTGAATATAACCACTATATGAATCACTTAAATGACCCAAAATAGAAATTTTAATTTTTTGAGCCTTTAAAATTTATATATATAAAGTATAAAAAATTTATACGTTGGAAATATAAATATTAATACACAAAAAGTTTCTTAGGAATAATTGTATTTTTGTATGTTATATATTTAGATTTACAATGTAAAATCCAATCTTCGTTGGGATTGAGCTAATTTTCCAATTATCTCATCCTTGCTTGTCGTCAAATACCTATGAATATTCAAAAGATCCAAACCTTTCAATCTACTTTCAGAAGCTGTACTTCTTGATATGTTTTTTAGAGACCTTGCAAGTATTTTAATTTTTATAAATATACCCGGGCAGGGCCCGAATTTTTTCAAAAAACACCCAGGCCGGGCCTGAAATTTTTTTAAAAAAAAATATCCTGGCCTTTTAAAACAGCCTATATTTGAAATCGTTATTATTAGCTATAAATATCAAAAATAAATATAATTTATTTTAAAAAAAATTCGGGCCGGTCTTGAAAATTTCCTTTAAAAAAAACCCGAGCCGGGCCGAAAAAAATTTTGAAAAAAATCCGGGCCGTGCTCTGCAAATGTTACCTCTGCAGGGCTCTGCTATTCTTTTTTAAAAAAAGAATGTTCTCTCATTCGTTTACTAATGGGAAGAGTTGCTAATATATATATATTTCAATACATTGGGAATAATCTAAAATGTGTTTGAAATTATACAAAGCACCCATAGAGCATTTTTTAATAACATAGTTATTCAGCTAATAAAAAATCAAACAAAAATTATTTTTTTTCTATCACCATCTGAAAAAGATTGGGAAGGCTTTTGTGGAAGTAATATATCTGCAGATTAGTAAGTGCTGCATGATGAATTAAAAACCATTCATTTATTTGGATTATAGTTTTATAATACTTTTCTACTGATATTTACTAATGTTTTGACGATGAGCTTGCCTTGCTGCAAGTCGAGGGAGACAAATATTAAACACGTGTAGCTCTCCTGACTCAACAATAATATATAAAATTAAAATTCTTCATCAACATTAGCCCTAATTTCCTCGAGTTCTGATAAAATGCTCTCCGCTATGCTCATCTTCTTAATCAAGTCAATGCCATATTTTTGAAAAGTATTACATATTGTATAATTAATTATATAATACATTCTAATGAGAAAAAAAAAATTGAAATAAGTATTGAATCCAATAATTTTCTTGCTTCTGAGAAAATATTTCAGGTCATTATGATATTTCAGTAATAGCATTAATAATCGGCTCTTCTAACTCCATAAAAGCTATTACTGCTTAATGGCGGAGAGTCCATCTCGTTGGACAAGCTTGCAATTTATTTCTCCATGTTGGACAAGGAGTTTCAGAAAAAATATTATTAGATTAGAAATATGAAAATGGCAGATAAATATTACGCCACTAGAAATTTGAAAATAATAGGTATATATTACGCCAATGAAAACTTGAAATTGAAACTAATTGACAAAATAACTTAGTAGATGAATGTGATAAATAAATGTAACTAAATATATATTTAATATGAGATAGGAATAAATATTAACAAATATAAATTAATAAAAACGATAATATTTTAAAAAAATAAATCCGGCATCTGCATTTTTTGGCTTTGGGGGAAGGATTTGCCCTGCTCCCCCCCCCTGCGTATGCGCCTGTAGACTAACGATGCATTTATTAAAAGTGTACATCAATGAAAACAGCTGAGGACGCCATTTTGATTACCCATATTATTATTAATAATTGTAAACGAAAAGCCAATTTATTTCAATGTCTGACGCAAAACTTTAATAAAGAATTGCCTGATCATCGAGATAATAAAGCAGCAAGTTATCAATTTATAGTTTTTAACTCGAGAATAATTACTATATGGGTTACCGAAAATGGCGGGTCCAGCTGATTTTCATTCAACGACGCTTTCAAATGCATCGTCAGTCTAGGCATCAATATATGTCATTACTTTAGATATAACATAAAATCAGGTAGGAAATAAAGTTCAAGGGTTCTACCCTGGTTTCATGAAAACGCAATTAATTTTGAAATGTAACTCGAAAATATAACGATAAAAAGTAACATTTTTTTAAAAAATTAAGATACACTTATTTATTATATTTCCCAAATTTAAAATAACTCAAAAAGCGCGAAAATAAGTTTGATATGATTGGTTTAATGTCTATGTTTGAAAGAAAAAGATAAAGTGTCATATTATCAACCCGATTAATCAATTTAGACCAATCACGAATTTTTTTGAAAAATCTTTCCCCCCCCCCAGATTATCTTATAAAAATATGAGCTGCGAAAGTAGAGGATGATTGCCAAAAACTGAAATCCTCTAGTTATTCGGAAAGGTTTTAACATGGAATTAGTATTTTAACTAATTTTGCCAAAAAAAAATCAGGTCAGGCTAAACAAACTATTGTCAAAAAGCAGGGTTATAACCCCAAATAAAATTGTCTGGTAGGACATTTTGAGACCATAGGTCAAACAAAGACCGATTTACGGACCAAACCCATCGAACCCGGGGCTGGTTCGGACCTCTTTTAGAAAATGGGGTTTTGATTAAGTTCCTGTTTATCAAAATTCCCGCTAAATAGAGTTTTAAATTCATTTAGGGCCCAGAATACTGTCAAAAAGTAAACAAATTCAGATAATGCGTTATTATTTGTGCTCACACATTGAAAGTTGGTTCGTGATTTGTATCGCGTCCCGGTTTAGGACTCCAGCGGATGCGCAATCATTCTTGTAGAACAAAAATATATCTTTGTCAATCCTTAAAAAAAACCCTTAAGAAAATATGCTATATACCAATGCCATCCTCAGCTGAGGCGTTCAGCACAGCAAAAAGCCCAGTTTAGATCATCTTGTTTGTAGGATAACATTTTTGGAAAAACAATTATTAAAAATTAAATTTTTTGAAAAAAAAGAAAGAAATGGTAATTTACGTAAAACCGCGCTGTTCGTGATAAAATGGAAAGAAACGTTTTAGTAAAAAAAAATGAGATTTAGCCAATTTAGGCCGGTCCGATCTGCCCAGCAAAATTTTTTGGAAAATAATTAATCTTATTTTTTTGATAAGTGCTCACCTTATCCCTGCTCAAGTTGGACAAACAGCAGGTGTACTAATTTTTGCTTCTTTTATATATATTATATATAGGTTTTATTTTTTATCACAAAATGAAGCATAACGTCAAAAATTCGTTAGTGTTCAAATTAAATGGTAAAATAGTAAAGTAATAGATTAAATATTATTTTCCAGTACATTTTCTTTTAATTGACGTCATTAAATTTTGTTTGTTAAACAAACAATTTAAAACAAACAAAATTTAGGTTATTTTATATTTTTTTAAAAAGAGTCAAACAAATCCAAATTAGGGTATAAGTATCGGATTGGATCGGCACCGATAACGCGTTTTTTAAAAGATATCGGATAGGACCGATATTTTTTTAAAAATTGTTTTCGGTTATTTTATGGTTGTTGATTTAAGATTTATCATGCAATCGAGATTTGGCAAATGCAGCCGAATCCTTCAGTCATCTATGATCCAAATATCGAGGCTTACGTAAAATTATTTTTGGGGCAAGATCAGAAATCGACCCAAATCCAGCCGTTTAACAGAACCAATCTTACCCGGAGAAAAGTCATTTTATCTTCTAAAAGAAAATATCATTCTGTCATCAAGTTTCGACTTAAGCAAAGGTGATAATGGGACATTGCCCTAAGAAGTTCTTGATCACCATGCTGAAGATCTCTTTTTTAAAGAAATTATTTATTTTTTTTAAAAAAAGATTAAAATATAGAAAAAGTTAAATTCTACGCGTGTTCTCGCAGCAAATTTTTTATAAATATTCGTATCGGTTACCAAGTATCTGCATTTTATAGTAACGAATGGATTACCGGAAATTGCGAACCTCGAGATTTGGCAAATACAGGTCCAAACTGGGCTAGGCCGGGCCGAATATTTTTTTTTAAAAAAAAATATTCGAGCCCGGTCGTTATATTTTAAAACCAAATATTCGAAAGGCAATTTAGCTATCAAAATCAAAAATAAATATAATATATTTTAACAAAATCCGAGTGGAGCCTGAAATTTTTGTTTTAATCACTCATGTTTTTAATATGCTCCTAAATTCTCACTGGGGGTCATTGCATTTCCAGTCAAATGAGATTTTTTTCCTTCTATCAAAATCACTCCTCGGCAAATTATTTACAATTGGGGAGTAATTCCGAATTCCCGTAAGATTCTATATGCTTACCAATGACATATAATAATACCTAGACTGATGATGCATTCATAATGCAGCATTTGAAAACGTCTTTGAATGCGAATCAGCTGGACCCGCCATTTTAGTAACCCATATAGTAATTATTCTCATGTCAAAAAAACTACTATTAAATTGATAATTTACTTCCTTATTATCTCGATGATCATCAGGCAATTCTTTAATAAAACTTGCGTCTGACAGGAATAAATTGGCTTCTTGTTTCAAATTTTTAATAATGATATGGGCAATCAATATGGCGTCCCCAGCTGTTTTCAATGATGTACACTGTGAATGCATTGTCAGTCTAGGTATTATTATATGTTATTGATCCTCCCAGTAAGGCTTAAATATCTATAATCCTGTGTCTATTTTTTTTTCTTCCTTCTTTCTGGTTCAGCATTTCAATTTTTGTTTTGCTATTGCTTGAGTTTTAAAACTGAAACCAAAACTTGGATCAAATCTTAGCTGATCCCTCTCTCCTCTTAAAAAAATTTCAGGAACACTACCCTAAAAATAATCGAGTCCAAAACTCGTCTATTTAATATAAAGCCCCGGGCCATTTAAACCGATTAGTGAATTATTTCAAATACTAATCGTTCTCCTTTTTTCGTCGTATCCAGGAATCGCATAATGATTGACGTACTATATAACAATTTACTTCATTAAAATACAAATAAGTGTTTTAAAGGAAAAAAAAATTATACCACGTCAGCAACATTTGTTTTGTTAGAAGGGGGTGGGGAGGGTAAATCAAACATGTTTTGATTTTTTTTTGCCTTTTATCATTATATTTCTAATATTAGAATATAGGGTAGTTAAAAGGTTAAAACAAATAAATATCATCTAAAAATAAGTAGCTAAGTGAACCAAGTTCATTGTGAGAATTCATTTATTCAATCTTTCCTGCTTTCCAAGTACCTTAGATAATAAAATAAATTTATAAAAATTTGGGCTGCGAAGAAAAATCCCCGAATTCCAGTTTCGCGATTTTAATAATTCCTTTTTTTTATACGAAATTTTCCTTTATAGTGCGCACAAATTGAGCGTTTACGTTTTGCCGAAATTTTTCAATAAAAAAACGTATTCATCCCTTGTTTAAATTGAGTTTGTCTTTTTTATTAATATAGTCGATTCAAAATTTTAAATAAGTTCTAAAAAAAGGATTTTTGTCTTTATTATATTATCGTCTGCGTACTTATCTCTTTAATTTCTAAATATTCCTTTTTAGGATATAAGTAAGTTATTTATATCACATTTTTATATAATATAACAAAACGAAGAATAAAAAGTAATGAAAAAGCAAATCTATTTGTGTTTTTTAAAATGGTTGCTAACGCCAAGCGGTAATTTTATCGATTTGCACGAAAACATTTAAAATGTATTATTTGCGCTTGCAACGCAGCGTTTTAAAAGCTCAATTTGTGAGCACTATAATGCCTTTCAAATGGCCTCGCGCAAATTGGTAAATGTACAGTTTGGCGTTAGCAACCATTTAAAAAAACGAAAATAGGTTTGCTTTTTCATTTACCATTTTTTTATTCTTCGCTTTGTAATATTTTATAAAATGTAATAAAAAGGAATATTTAGAAATTAAAGAAATAAGAAGGCAGACGATAACACTCCTTTTTTTAAGAACGTATTTAAAATTTTGAATAGACGGATAAATAAAGACAACCTCAATTTAAACAAGGGACACGTTACGTTTTTTTATTAAAAAAATTACGGCAAAACGTAAACGCTTAATTTGTGTGCACTACTAAGAATATTGACGACAATAAACCAATTAACCCTCCCCTTTCAATGTCGCCGATTGAAAAAAAAAATTAAAGGTTTATTTTTCAAAGGTCATAAACGCATGAAAGTCGCGTATCTAGTTGGCTTATACAATTAAAAATTGAACGACTTTAACTTAAATCCTCTAAAAAAAAATTGAATATTTTTCAAAAATATTTTTTGTGTTATTGAATATTTTTTATAAAAAAAAATATTATAAAATGTCATTAGCAAAATAAAAATATTTATATTATTATATTTAAATCAAGGTTAAATTTGTAAAATAAAATGAAATCTTAAAAAGAAAAACCGCTTCGAAAAAGATAAAATTAGAAGATCAAAATTATAATTAAGCCATTTAATGAACAAGCCCTTTATTTTGTTTTGTTTTGTGGAGCTAAATTATTATTTTAAATGTAAATGCGATTTAAGTGTAGTATAAAAGTATGGTCTCAAAACGAAGATATATTTATGGCCCTTTAACGCGGTTGAGTGGGGGAAGGGGGGGGGGGGGTTCGTGTCATCTATATTTTAAAGGGAAATAGTGCAATCTGATACAACAATGGTATCCATTTTATATTTAAGTCATCCGGGGTAGGGTGGGTGTTAGTGTCATTAGCTTGGAGAGCTCTGGGTATAAGCGTGGCTGCTGAGATATTTTAACTTTGGTTCAATCCCGGAAATATAGGATAGGGTAGGCACCGATGTACTCAAAAAAATATCGGATCGGGAGGATATTTTTTTAAAATATCGTACCCTAATTTTTTGTTTATATTATCTGCTCCAAGAAAGGGATTTTAAAATAGCTAGCTAGCCACGTTCAGGCTTGCTTGCTAAACGGCTCGATTTAGCCAAATTTTAAATACGGTTGACTCAAGACTTTGGTCATAAAGTAATATTTTACACACTGGTGGCGTTAGGACTTCTATCGGCGAAATTTCGAGGGCTTAAGTATTTTTTTTTAATTTAAATGTTTAAGATTATCACGTGATAAAAATAATGATAGTGATTGGTTAAACGAATAAAACCCTATAGCAAATTAAAATATCGGACCAAAAGGAGATGGAACTAATTTTATTACATAAAAAAACATATATTTAAAATTAATTTAGAGAAGTTCTTTGAATTTAAAGGAGGTAGGGAGGCCCACCAGTTTAATACTTCCGCCCTGGCTCAATTTAAAACAAAAGTGAATTAGAATCCTATAATAATCAAGTGGGGAATATTTTATAGATTGACAGGCAAAATAGGGTAATTTGCTTTAGTTTGAACTGGGTCATAATAATGTGGTATCATTTAGAACAAATCCAATCAAACTATCCTTCAAAAAAAAACTTAAATAGCTAGCTAATAAAAAAATTCAGTTAAAATGATATTTTTATTTTTTCTAGATATGAAAAGTTGAAATATATTTGTATAATTCCAATTTACAAATATTTAATTTAGTTTTATATTATTTGGCCAATAATTTGTAAAATTTAATTGGTATTTTTGTGTAAGCTATTTTATTTATTTAGATTGTTTGATCTGATTGTATTTTGATATATAAAATACAAAAAAAATTCAATTTTTGATTAGCGAAAAGCAAATATTTTAGAAATATAAATTAAATTGGAAGGTAAAATTGTGAAAATGGTATCAGGAACATTGGATACAGCATAAAATAAGCATAAGATATATTGCTGCAACAATTTTTGATGAATTAATTTTAGAGATCTGCATAAGCAAATCGAAGTCTGATAACTGACATTTTTTCTAACTTTATCTATCATCAAATTTTATTTTGGACAGACTTAGACTTCCACCAGTTAGAAATTTTCCACTTTGTATCTTTTCAAAGTTCAATAAAAAACAAAGATAGGATCAAACTTGGATTTATTTCTAATTACTATAAAATCTATAATCAGATCAGACTCAGATCCTAAAAGAAAAATAATAGAATCTCATTGCTCAGACAATTTTTTTTTCTTAAATATTGCTAGATCTAAAGTAATAGATCTAATACAGGACTCAGTTAATTTAATGAGATATATATATATATAAATTAGTAGTGTTGTTAAATGGCTCAATTTGAGCCTATTTTTAAAAGCAGCTACCTCAGTATATTATCTAGAACAATATTACCCAAGCGCAGAGATTATATATAGCAAAATCTTGAGACTTAGGCAATATTTTTCTGGCTATAATATTGAGTTAGCCATTTTCAAAAATAAGCTCAAATCAAGCCATTTAAAAACGTTATATTTTAGTGATTTTGGAAAAATTAACATGAGAGTCATAACTAATTTATAAATATATAAAATAATTTTATTATCTTCAATTTTATAAATAAATTTATTGAAAGAAATTTTTTGAAATCAATAAAATTCATGATTATAATAAATTAGTAAAGGGAGTATTCTAGTTTTTGAATATATTTTTTACTAACTCTTTTTCAGAGACTTTATGAAATTATTTTGAAAAAAAAACCATCCTTTTTCAATATTAATTAGATGACTATATCAGATACTTTTTTTAAGAGAGGAGTGATTTGAAAAATTATATGATTTGGGATTTAATTTATAGTTAATATTTGTAAGGGAATGTTATATCCAAATTAATTTATGAATAGTAGCAAATAAAACAATTTTCTTTATATGATAAAAATTGTTATATTAAAAAAATATATTTAGTTAAATAACCATAGTTATTTATGAATTATTTTTAGGCTGCTAGTGAATGTTAGACCAACTTGCTAAGTAAAATAAATATTGTACAAGCAAGATCGGCCATTATATGAAATAAAATATTACACATATAGTATAAAAGATTTACTTTGATTTTTGTCACACAATGAATTCCTAATTTCACCACTGCAAAATTGCCTTTCCCTATAGTCCTTTCCAATATAAAAGGTCCGACCCTTGGGGAATGAAGGCTTTTAGAATTCTGTGATTTATCCATTCCAATAATATTAACTATGTAGTATAATATATATACGAAACATTTGAATTTTAGGTTAGCATGTCATCGTCAAACTTAAGTGAGGATTCACGTAATATATTGATCAAATAATCAAATAAATGACACATGACCAAAAAACATTTTTTTGTCAGTTGAGTTCAGAGGTTGAATCTTGAATAATAAAATAATTAATTATACTTCTTAATTAAATACAGATAAAAATAAAAATCAAAATATATAAACAAATGTGCATTCAATAGGAATGTATTTTCTATATATAAAATTTTAATTGTCATTGTTATCATTTTATTTTTTAAACTTCTCGTAGGTATAATTATGTAAAATATCATTGTACGATTTTGTGGACCATTTTGTTAATTTGTTAATAACTTAATATAATTAATACACATTTTTATTAACGGAATTTATCCTTAAATATCAAAAAATGCAAAATTTTTCTATCCTTACCCCTTAATAACTCAGATAGTTTTTACTAGCTATGCGAAATTTTATTAAATTAAAAGCCCCGTTTGGATGTTCATAAGGACAAAATAATCACATGCAATCATTATTCTTCAAACATCAATTTTTATAATAATTACACATTCATCAAGTTTATTTTATACTCAAAAATACCTTTTGAATTCCGCAAATTATTATTGTTTATATATCTCATTAAACCAATACTCTTGCAATAGGTTTAATCAGATTTCAAACCGTTTTGGTACTGAAATTTTAATTTAACATGTTTACAATAAATATTTTTATCCATTTTCATGAAAAAAATTTTTAAATATATTAAATATTAACGTTCATGACAATTGTCACTTTTCTATCGTGCATCTTTATCGAAATTTTAATTTTAAATGTTAATAATATAAATTTTATCCCATTTGCGTCAAAAAATAATTAAAAATGTTAAAAAATATCGATATGAACATTTGTCATTTTTCTGTGTTTATTACAACATTATACCTATAGTGTCCAAAAAGTTTTAAAAAAACAACGATTAGGACAATTGTCACATTTCTGTATTACTTTACATCTTCATTGAATTCTGATTTTATAAATCTTTACCCATTTGTGTCAAAGATAGTTGAAAAATTGTCACTTTTCATGGTACATTTTCATTAAATTTTTATTTTAATTTAACATGTTTACTAACCATATGCTTCAAAAATATATATTATAAAATAATAATTATCTAAAACAACTTATGCTGTGTGGACCTTTAGAAGATCGTTGATCAGAAATATTAATAAATAAAAAGTGTTCAAAGATCATGATCTTCCAAGATCGTTGCTCAAAATTTTTTTAAAATTTTATACAAGTTGTTTGGACCAAAATTCTATTATACAAGAACTGTCTGGTTAGTTAAATTTTTTACCCGACACCAGTGGTCCAGGCTTTAGGACGGGTCGAGGCAGGCTTTGCAGATCTCTTCCAGATTACTGCTAGTTATTCTAAAGAAAATTTTGATCAAGAGGTTATTATTTAATTGGCATTAATAAATAGTATTTATTTTTACAAGCGTCAACTTTATAACAAAATAATGTAGTAGCTTCATTCATTTTCAAATGCTACAGTACAAACGATGCAACATATGCGGATTGAATTTTACAAATTACAGCCAACATTCCTACCAAAAATATCATAAACGTAAAATAAATGATGGAATAAAAAGATTCAAATTAAAAGTATTATTTGTATATATAATATAATTTTTATCTTATTTTTATAAGAAAATTAAAGCGAATGAACAATTAATTAATATGTCATTTATACCAAAGTCTGACTTAAATAAAAAATTTTGGTGTATATTTTGTAGTAAAGATTATGAATATAATTATATTGTAAATAATTATCAAATCCTGGCTTTAGGATTTTTCGATCACATATCAAAGTAGCATAATGATTTGATTTAATATCTATATCAAGTTAGAATAAGGCACATGAAGTTTGTTAAAAAAATATTATTAGAAAATGGAGAAGACATGAAGGATATAAATTCTTATATAAATGATAGGAAATTGTTCACAGAGTACATCAATATTTTTAGATAATTTAAAATATTTCATTTAAAGGTATGAAAATGTTATAAATTCTATAATAACAAAAGCCAATGTAAATTTTAATTAAAAATACACTAATTATTTATTTTAAAAAGGATCCAATACAATTATTAAAATATACTCAAAGTTGTGACAATTCAATTTACGTCAGAAAATCTTCTCCAATATTATCCAAAAGTTGTTTATATATAATTAAATGTATCATGTATAATATTGCATTTAGAATTCGAAAAGTCTATAAAACCATTTGATACAAAAATAATTATGAATAAAGAAATTCTTCCACATTTTAAAAAGTAAAATTTACATATATAATTTTTTTTGACACTGTCGATAATCATAGAAAAAAGAAAAAAATTATCCCTGAAAATAATGATTTTATACTCAGGCCATATGTTTCAAAACGATTAACAAAACTTTAGGCATGCTAATAAATAACTTACATTAATTAATCTTATAAATTATATATCAAATTATAAATTTAAATTATATATATCATTTTATATTGTAAATGCATTTCAATCTTAATAAAAAAAATTTTTTAAATAATCTTCATAAATTTTGTACCTTTAATTTATTCCAGATGCACCAATACCAAGTAGGCTCAATATTCATAAAACTAACCAGTATATCTTTCAATATTAACCTTTTTATGCCAATATCAAATTATTCAATTCTCAAAAGGTTTTTAGAATAATTTTTCAATGCAATTTTGCACCAAAAAAAAATTAGTATTTTTTAATTATTTTAAAAATTGTAAGTTTTTTTAGACCATTTTTATTAAATAAAACAAGGGTAAAAGTTGCTCTTATTGTGCTTCCCCTTTTTTTCAGACTGATTTATGATATTTTTGAATCTGCTTTTATTGCTTTCTAATATCCTTCTAAATATGAAAATTACTAATCGAATCAAATATTTCCATTATTTATACTTGATTTGTGTATTTGAATCAATAATTTTGTATTTGTACAAATCAAATGTTTTCTTATTTTTAAGCAGTGATCTGCAAAGCTCAGCTCACAAACCTGGTAAGAATTTATTTTTTTAAATAAAATAGATAATTGGCATGCCATGAAAATTTAAAATAAAATTATGCTGGGTAATCTTTGATTTTTTTTGTAAAATATTAATAGGCCAACCTTAGCATTAAAATTTATATATATTTTTTTAAATTTTAAGCAAACATTTTGATGAGATTTAGTTATTTTTGGTTATGTATAAAATTAGCATCAAATAAGATGATAAATAATATGATAATTATTTTTTTCCATTCATTTGATATTTTTTTTAATGTGTGAAGTGGTACATTCTAAAGTTGTTCATGATTCAAAGTTGAAAAATGAGTCAACTCGAGTTTTGAGAAATTTGACGATTATCTCATATTTTGAGTTTCCCTTTCTGTGTACAGGTGCTTTGCCTACAGCCATTTCACTTAAAGTGCCAAAAATGCTAAAATTTAATAGCAAATACTCAAATTAAATAATAAATTATTAGGATGGAATAGGAAATTTGATCATAAATGACCCAAAATATTACTAAAATACCGTTTCGCTTATATGCCAAAGAATCTAATTTAATACCAAAATTTTCTAATAATTGAGCAAATTTAATAATAAATTAGAAATGGGGAATGAGCAAAAATACAAGCAAATTAGCAAAATGCCTTTAAGCCTAAAAGTTCTCCAATCACAAATACTCAAATTATATAATTAATCAGCAAATATTTCAATTGTAATAAAATGTCATATCTTGCCACTTTTTAGGCGAAATGTCTATAAGGGTACAGCGTAACCTAATCAAAATTTTTTACTTAAGGTCACCACACGACTAAGCCGACTTGGCTGAGTTATATAGCAACTCTAGGATCCAGTTAAGGAAAATATTTAGGTGACCTTACGATTAAAAAGTGACTTAAAGCTTGTTTCTAATTTTTCTAATGTTTAGTATTAACCTTTTTTTTTATTATTTCAATCCGTTTGACATACACACAGTTTGAAGAAAAAAAGTTATAAGTAAAATAGCAAAAGATTGACACCATTCCAGACATAGGTGTCAGCAAATAAATTTAATTTTTTTTTAGAAATTTGAATTTTTTAAAAATAAACGAGAAAAATTTATAATCTGGTTAGGTTAAAAATTATTAAACAAAATATTAAATATATTTCGAGTAAAAAAGTATGAAGAATATTAGCTAAGTTAGATAAATTTCAATGACATATAATATTACCTAGACTCATGATGAATTCATTAAAAGTGTACATCAATGAAAACAGCTGGGGACTCCATTTTGATTGCCCATATCATTATTAAAAATTTTAAACGAGAGGCCAATTTATTCCTATGTCCTGTAGCAAACTTTATTAAAGAATTGCCTGATCATCGAGATAATAAGGAAGCAAGTTATCAATTTAATAGTAGTTTTTAACATGAGAATAACCACTATACGGGTTACCAAAATGGCGGATTCCAGCTGATTTTTATTCAACGACGTTTTCAAATGCATTATTATGAATGCATCAACTTTCTTCGTTTAAAAATTTCGATTTTACTTTTGATATTATGTAATGAAGAAAAAAAGTCTTTTTTTTTTAAATTATAAATCTTAAAACTTCAAATTTGGTATACATATAATAACGAAAATTATATTTACGATTTAAATCTTTATTTTTTTTTAATAAGAATAACAGAGTTGTTAAAGGATCTAGATACAATTATTTAGATCCTGTATCTAGATATAAAAATGTGGTATCGTATCTGTATCTAGATAGATTTTTGATTAAATAATCTGTATCTAGATATTATTTTAGACATTGTATCTGTATCTAGATCCATTTAAAAAGTATTTTTTAACAACTCTGAGAATCAGCAATAAGAATAAGAAAAGTAATAAACCCATTCAAAAAAATTACTCAATTTGAATAAAAACGGCCACCTCAATATTTTAGCCAGAAAAATATTGACCTAAGTCTCGAAATTTCGATAATACATGTCTAAACCTTTGTTCCTTCTGCAAACAAAATCTTGAGGCTTGCCTCATACTATTTCTGGATGAAATTTTGAGTTAGCCGTTTTTATAAATCGAGCCGTTTAGCAACACTAATTTAATCACAAAATAAGACTTTAAATAAATGTATTTGTTTTAATTTAAAAAAAAAATACTGAATTTTAATCATGTTTGCTAGTGTATAGGCCTTCGTAATCTGCTCTCGAGAGAAATATAGATGCATTCAGGTAAAATAAAAATATATATATAAGGTCAAAGATAGACTCGATTCATTGGCTTTGATATTAGTATTGAGGAAAATATTGTAAAACAAAATGACGAATTATGTTTAAGCGTCAATGCGTTTTTATTTTCCCGACAATGTATTTATTTTTTTTTTCAACTTTGAAATCATTTTTTTTTTGAGCGCGTTTTTTTTTTTTAAAAATTTTAAAATCTGATTTTACCGGATGTGGATTCCGGCATGTTTAGAATACTAATCTTATGATGAATTGTAGATAATTTTTGCCGCTAACTTTTACAAAGTCATTTATAATTTATATAAAAAAAAATCTATGGAATAAAACTAATATAAATTGTCTCATTTCTAAACAGTAGTCTGCTTTAGCTGGTGTTGTTGAAGGCTCGTTTTGGGCCGATTTTTTAAAACGGCTGACTCAATATTTTAGCCAGAGAAATATTACCTAAGCCTAGAGATTGAGATGATATATGTCTCTCTAGACCCTTGTTCCTTTTATGAGCAAATTCTTCAGGCTTGCGTAATATTTATCTGGATGAAATAGTTAACTGTTTTTAAAAATAGGCTCAAAACGAACCCTTTAACAACACTAGTTTTAGCCGTCAATATCGCTTCCTCTAAAACAGCCTTAAAAAAATGAAAGAGGTTATATAGATTTAAACGTAGGTAAAGTTATCTTTGTTACTCTTTTTTTTTCCAAAGCAAAATATTTATTCATCGAAATAAATTTTTTAAAAAATAACAAGACGAAACTATGACCCGATTTTGATTCTCGTCTGCTTTATTTTCGTGTTGTTTGAATACTCAATAGTAAAAAAAAAATTTTAATCACCCATCCCTTCACTTTTTGATCCCCTTCGAATGGTTTGGGAGCATCTCTGTCAAAGAGGAAATGACGTATAATAATATCAAGTGTGCACCAATGAAAACAGCTGGGGACGCCATTTTGATTAATAATATCTTTATTTAAAAATTTTAAACGAGTAGCCAATTTATTCCTATGTCCTGACGCAAACTTTATTAAAGAATTGCCTGATCATCGAGATGATAAGGAAGCAATTTATCAATTTAATAATAGTTTTTTAACATGAGAATAATTACTATATTGGTTACCAAAATGGAGGATCCAGCTGATTTGCATTCAACGACGCTTTCAAATGCATTATTATGATTGCACCGGAGAACTTCCGAATCATAATAAATTTTTTATAAAAAAATAGTGACACATAATTTTTAAAAAAACTGGCTCGTATCCTATTGGCTATTTTTATTTAATTTTTTAAAATAATATTTAGTTTATTATATCAACAGTGTTGGGGTAGCATCGAACATTTGTTTTTAAAATACGAAATGCAAACGCTCTTTTTTTTGTATTCGTATTTATAGTATTTATTTGAATAAATTAGAGTAAGGCTTTTCAAATACGGATCGAATAATTCGCTATTCGTAATTGTACCTAGCAAACATGTATAGTAAATTGTTTTTAAATAGACCTAATTTAGATGGTATATACTTGGTATTAGTTATTTTAACATTACTAAAATAATTAATCTTTTTGTATATATTTACGTCGACATAAATAACAAATAGACATTTTAGATATTTTTATATCAGTTTATATTATAAACTAAACTTATTGTTGTTTAAAGAATCAATTTGAGCCAATTTTTAAAAACGAACTAATATGGCGCACAAATTGAGCGTTTCAAACGCGGTTAATGATGCTTACTTGTATTTTGTTTATTTTTCATTTGGATAGGCACTACCAAATTTATTTGAAAAATCGTGATTTTTAGAAAGCGTCCGTGACTAGTCGGCAAGAGAGTTGCTTACCAATCCGATGGTTATGGGTTCGAATCCCAGCAATGATCATATTTTTTTTTTCTTAATCCAACTTGGTGGTTCTGTCCTTGCGGGATGATACATAGAAGGCAGGATTCGACCACGTGATTCCGTTATAATATCTATGTTAAATAATAACGGTTTTGTTACATCTTAATAAATTTTGGTATTTGGTAGTATGTATCAAATATTGTAAAATCAAGATTCGCTCGGTATCGTCTTTGGTAGTAAGCATCATTAACCTTCAAACGCTACGTTGCAAGCGCAAATAATGCATTTTAAATGGCCTCGTGCAAATTGGTAAAATTTACCATTTGACGTTAGCAACCATTTAAAAAAACGTAGATAGGTTTGCTTTTTCATTACTTTTTTAATTCTTTGCTTTTGTAATATTATATAAAAATGTAATACAAATAACTCACTTATATATCCCTAAAGGAAAAAATATTTGGAAATTAAAGAAATAAGAACGCAGACGATAATGTGATTTTCAAAGACAAATCCTTTTTTTTTATAGAACTTAATTTAAAATTTTGAATCGACGGATATTAATAAAAAGACAACCCCAATTTAGACAAGGGACACGTTACGTTTTTTATTATTTAAAAATTACGGCAAAACGTAAACGCTCAATTTGTGCGCACTATAACTCAATATTTTATCTAGATAAAAAAAAAATACGCGAACTTGAAGATTGAGCTCATAGATGGCATAAAGTTTGTGTTCTTCTGTTGGCCAAATTTAGAGGTTCTTAGGCGATATATTTCTGGTCAAAATATTGAGTTAAACCATTTTTCGAGCCGCTTAACAAACGATAACTGAACCGAATCATAAAGAGTTGTAAAATAAAATCCACAATTTATTTATACTAATATTAATTTTTCTATGATCAGAAGTTAAAGTAATTATAAAATAATATATAATTAATTTAATATGGGGGGGGGGGGGGTAAGGGCTAAAAATTAATGTCTTTTCTTTAGTAGAAAAAAATTTACCCAGATGACGCTGATGAAATTAAATAAGATGAGGCTGCTGGTTTTTTTACAACAAATTGATATTTAATACTTTGAAGGATTCAAATGTAAAAAAAACGGCGCCATTTTCAAAAATAAATTTACGAAATATTTTACCGGTTTTACAGCTGATTAATTCGAAGTAATGATTTTTTAAGCTCCTCTATCGTATGTTTTTGTTTAACTTTGCATCGAACCTAAAGCTCAGAAAAAGAAGAATAATAGACCTGTCACAACTCATGAATGTGAAGATTATTATTATTTTTCTTCTTTCTTTCTATTAGATTTTTTTAAATGTTGGAATACAATATTAACTTGTCTATCATATGTTTTACTTAATTTGGATAGGGTGTAAAACTCAGAAATAAAAAAAGTATAGACCTGTCACAACTCAGGAATGTGGAGATTATTATTTTTCTTCTTTCTTTCTTTCGATTTTTTTTTAAATGTTGGTATATACAATATTAACTTGTCTATCATATGTCTAATTTAATTTGCATCGGGTCTAAATCTTAGAAAAAAGGAGAATAAACCTGTCACAACTCAGGAATGTGAAGATTATTACTATTTCTCTTCTTTCTTTCTATTCGACTTTTTTAAAATGTTGGTATAATACAATATTACATTTTTTTTAAAAAACTAAAAAATGGTATGGTAAGGGTATTAATAAATGTCTTTAGGGGAGTTTTACGATATCATTTTCTTTTAAAAAATAATTATGGAATAAATTTTATTTTTATAATAAAAAAAACTCATATTTTGTTTAAGATATTATTTACATTTTTTTTTAAATCATTTTTTTTAGGAATATTAAATAAAATATAATTTCTACATAATTTCGAAAAAAATTAATTTTCGCACAATTATTCTAGGATCGAAGGTTAACAAATAATTTTGTTATTTATTGAAATATATGAATTATTAATAATGATCCGGTTGTTATGTTTGTATATAAATATTTTTTTTTAATTTAAAAATAAAAAAAATTTGATCTTCGTATTTTGAATGAATTCCTCCACGCGTTAGACGCGTTAAGAATTGTGCGAATATTTAGTAATTGTTGGGTGATGTATTTATCATCATGGCAGGGTATTTAGTTATGTTAAATTACAATCATTGAGCGCGGTGGGAATCGTTGTTTGTTGTGCCGAAATTAGAATTCTTCCAGACTGGGTTAAGGCCGGGAGCAGTTGGCTTTATACCGGTGAGTTCTTGATTATTCCTCCAGCCATAGGATTCCGACAGTTGCAAAATGTATTTTTATCAGCGGATTATCTCGCAAGTGGAGACAATGGGAACGTGTTAAGGTTAAATGGCTGTAGCACGGTAGGTATAAAAGGTTATCCGGAATCTTGGTCTTAAATAGAATGTTTGGTATGCTACCAATAACTGGTATCTAGTTTGTTGCATAACTGCTGTCTATTCCACTCACGCATATCTCTCGGGTGGGAAATTATTCTTAAGTAAAATATCTTCCTTACTTTTCTCGGTGTAATTCCTGTGCCAATATGCCTTATGTTTCCATTCCTCGCAGATCTCTTGATCCTTCAAATCTTCGAAGCATTCACTTATCAAATAATCCTTCGGGGTCGAATTTAAATCTTACGTGACTCATGACTGCCGTAAATTTTTTCCGAGCCGAGTTGTGGTTGGGCCATTTTGACAGGGTATTGTAAAATCACTTTTCGACATACACTTTTGTGCCCTTATCGCCAATCAGTGTCATAATTGTTAATTCCTTGATGGCGTAGAGTTCCACTCGACGAGCGTCTAGATTGATAAAAAATTTTCGTAAGCGAGAATGTAATCCAGCGATTGCTGATCTCTTTGATCGAGTGGATATCGGCTAAATCTGTGTTTTCGATACTGAATGTCAGGATCATTTCCTTTTCTAGCTCATTGCCCTTACAATATTATTTGAAGATCTATCCGGGGTTCCTGTGAAATAACTCTGATTCTTATTTTTCGGGTATCGTCGAAGTCCTGAAGATTCATATACTTGTCGATCTCGGTGACCTCGTTAGTTAAGCTGTATTTCCTGGCTATGCGCTTTTTCTGTACACTTTCTTGGGTGGGCACTGTTGGCTCCAGTTTTTTTGGCCCCGTTTCTTCGTAAAACTCATCCTTTTCATAATCCGCAAAGTTGTCATTGTCCGAGATATTTTGTTTATTGGATCGTATAGCAAGTCGATGTCAATTTCAACTTTTTGGCTGTTTCTTCCGACTTTAGAAACCCGTTTAGAACTTTTTCTTCATCTTTTGAGTCAACTTCTACTTCGTCCAAAATCTCCATTCCCCGTATCATCATGATTTTTTATTGATTTTAGAAACCTTACTTGTATTTTGGAAGAAACATTTTTGATGTTATGTAAAGTCGGCTTAGGGCTTTCTTGTTCTGGGAGGAACAGGACTGATTTCTGACATTCGTCGTTTAAGTGAACTAATGTTGGATTCTCTACCATAGTGACATGCTTGGTAAAATAATCGAAACTTCCCTTGACGAGATTATTAACGACATGTATTTGATCGACGTTGTCATCGTCATAATTCCTTGCTACCAATATGGATAGATGGCCAGAAACTTTGGTTTAATGTTTCGATTTGTATTTTTTTGGTTTTTCGAATTTGTTTATATAGTGAAAGGTGTCATTTTCTTAACAGAATGTTTGACATCTCTTTTTGAGCCTTTTTTGCTTAGAGGGCTTTGTTTTTTATCGTTGACCTTTTAACTATGATGGAATATTTAATATTCGCGTTTATGGGAGGGGGTAAAACCATTTTTGGATTAGGAAACATAATAAATAAAGTTTTTATTTTCGTCGGGGAATAATGAATCATATGTTTCGCTATCGGTTAAGAATGATGACTGATCTAATCTTGAATCCGATTTTGGAGAAGAAAATATATTTTCATAGTAGTAGATAGACATTCATTGATTGTAGATTTCTTTGAACATGTAAAACTTCTAGATTATATCTCTTAGTTACCTCACTTTATCACCTTCTAATCACCTTGGCAGTTATCGCTGAAGATTTCCCTCTTAGTTTTATCAATATTCTCAACCATTAATCTCGGATTCCAATGGAGATAAATGTTTTCATGCTTCCAAATCTTGTGATAGGTCTATATTTGAATTAGAGGTCTGCAGGACGGGCCAGCCCCACCAATGTTTAAAAATTATTTTGAGGCTAATTTGGCTCTTTAATCATTTATTTTAATTTATTTTTTGATTTAAGTAGATATAATATGCAATATTATGAAATAAAACTATTATTTTTAATAAATAGAAGTCTCTTCTGCTCATTTCCCCTCACAAATATTAAAAATATACACGCTACGCCTGCCCATTACTTAAAAAATGTTTTTTAAGACCGCCATCCGCCTAATGTTAAATATTTTAGAAACTCGACCAAGCTTATCCGAAGTATGGGCGGGCTCAAACCCTGCTCAGTGCAGGTCTATACTTCGAATCTGCCGAAACTTATGGAACTTCTTACTCTCTGCCTTCAAAGTTCCTGACAAATTTCGTAAGCTCCTTTTATCCAAATAAGTCAAGTAACTCCCATTGTACCCTCATCTAATAAACCTAAGTTTCTCACTTTCAAGCTAAAACCAGTCTTTTACGAGAAGATAAAAAAAATTCATCAAAAAGAGGATGCACAAGTCTAATAAGCATAATGAAAAGCCAGAAAGGGCATTTTGCCCTACTAGAAGGATATCTCCCTTCAGTGTAATGTTGAGTTTGAATAGATTGAGCTAGAACTGATTGTAAATATTATAATAGTTTTATTAGTACATATATATATATATATATGTATGTAATCCTAATTTGAAATGGACAAACTATTATAGAAGAGATTCGCGAAATTGAGAAAATGAGGTATGTTTAATACATCGATCTAAATAGAAAAAAAAAATTATATACCTATTTTTCAAATGACCAATAAAATAAAAATTTACCTAGAAAATGAACGGAATGGGAAGAGAAAAGAAGGAAGGAATAAAGGAATATTGAATATAGGGCTTTGAAAAAACTTGGTTCACCATTTTTTTATTCTGGAACACCGGGGTAAGTAAGGACCGAATAACGTCACTCAAAAGTTTAACCCTACTCATTTGCCCTTCTCCCATCCCCTTGAACATACTCTAATTTAAACCCTATGAATACTTCTTTTTTAAAGAAATAAATAAATAGGGCTCCTCTAACCATTATAAATAAATATTGATGTACGGTTACGCCAAACACGTCAATAACGGAAACTTTCCCAAGATTAAGAGCAGAGAAGTTGCCTGCGATTATCGGGTATCTACTAACGGTTACCCAATGTACAAAAATAATACGCTGAACCCGAAGTTGCACAACAAGCAGCAGGAAAGAAATCTCAAGGTGGAATATTACGAGAGGGAGGATGATGATAGCGACGTATATTAGTATAAAAAATTACGTTAATAATTTCAGCGAATAGTCAGCTGATCCCCCCCCCTCCCCCTACCCAAAAAATTCTATACACCCTTATTTTTAAAATAATTAATGTACAAATGAAAGATGGCGAACAACATTAATCTTTGCACCCCCCCCCCTTTACTCCCTCCGGTTAATAATTTAGAATCCATAATCACGTGTTTCACTCCTAATTGTTGAAAAAATATTTGCAACTTAAATTTAACAAATTATGGGAAAATTTTTTTTTAGCCAATCAAAAACATGAAAGGTTTTGAATGATTGCCCCATATTTATAAATTTGATGATTCTTTTCATCTTTTTACAGATAATTTGTCGCGGCTTATCTTGACAACTTGTGTTGTTAAACTGCTAGATTTTTTAAAAAACGACAAACCCAATATTTTAGCCCAAAAAATATTACCCAAGCCCGGATATTTTGATCATAGGTGGAAGAAGGGAATTGGGCATTCTCTTAGCCAAATCTCGAGCCATGATGCATAATAGTATTTTGGCTTGAAATCCCAATAAAAATTAGACTAAACCGAACCGTTTAACATCCACTAATTCCAACTAGCCTTTTCTATAATATAATTATTTATTATTATTATTATTATGCTATATGATCACGATAGATAAATTATATTTAAAATTATAGAAATATCTTAAAATATCAAATCTCCTTTTGAACTTGTTTTTTCGAGTTATATAGTTATATATATATATATATATATATTCAATTTATATTATACAATTTAAACAAAGCAAGATTACTACTATGATCAAGGCAACAAATGTATGGAAGAGATCGAAATGAAGGGCGGAGTTCATCGCCGATATGTGCCTAACCCTCTCATGGGTAGACCTAAAGCGGCAAAACTACCCGATAAATACAGTTTAAGTATAAGATTTAATAGTAACCTATGAAGGAGGAGTTTTTACTAGGTGGGGCTAAAACGCAAGATCACCGTTGAAATTGAAAGGGTGGTAGATATTTGTGAAGACAGAGGGGTGGGTGGGAGTATGGAGTAGTTTTCTTGGATTCTCTTATTCTGTTAATTTTAAAATTTTAATTTGGTAGGAGGAGGGAGGGGTGTGATATAATTTTCAAGGGTTTGGCTTTAGGGAGCTAGGGTCAGGCCTGTAAGATGTTTTTGTTAGAAGGGATTATTATATGAATTCAACCAATTAGTTTTCTTTTATTACTTCTATAATTGTTAGAAAAAGGCATAATATTAACAATAGTAAAACCTGTCTAATTTAGTTACTGCTGGAACTAAGAATCTTGCCCAATTTTATATACAGCTGCCCAATTTATCAAGACTTTTTTTTAACATTTCTAATAGTATATTTAAATAAGAACGAATCGGGAATCAAAAATTTTGGTCAGATTAGGAAATTCCCAGAATTTTCGAGAGCCCAAATTAGACATTACCCCGTTTATTTTTGAATTCCGATAAAATGTATTATATAAATTATTATAATCTGTTACCTAAAGAAATATTTTTTAAAATAAAAATGTGAAAATTAATTACTATAAATTTACAATATAAAGTTGTAAAGTATTAAATCATGGTTTTGAAAGTTTCCCCCTTTTAAATTTTTTTGAAAAAAAGAAAAATTAAGTGATAAACTATAAAGAGTATTATTTGATAAAATTTGTATAAAATTAGTGTAGTTAAAAGGCTCCTAACTCTATACTTTATCCAGAAAAATATTATTGCAATGCCTAAAGATTATGACTCATACATAGCACACAGGATTGAACATCTATTGGCGAAATCTTGACGAGTAGGCAATATTTTCCTGGCTACGATGTTGTGTTAGCCGTTTTTAAGAATCGACTTCAATCGAGTCATTTAATAAAATCACTTAAAATATAATAAAGTAGCATTTAGGGGTGTCTCCTGGTTCGACCTATTGCTAGACAAACAGCTTGTTTAGACTAGCTATTAAACACTTGGACTATACAGTCTAAAAAAAATTTTAAAAATGAAAAAGAAAAACAATAAAGAAAACAAAAAAAAAAGAGAATACAAATCATAACGAATGCCGCCCAATACTTAAGACCGAACCAAAAGAGAGTGTACCATTAAAATATAGAAAAATAGGTCGAATCACCCATTATACTTCTAGCAATGATGAGAGTGAGAAATACCTAGAAAAAATATTCTGAAATTGGATCTACTTAGTAAAAATGTAGATAGTATTTTTAAACAGCTCGATTTAAGCGCCGATTTAAAAAAAACGGTTAATTTCAATATTTTATCCCCAAAAAAAACAGAAACCGTTACAACAAGCCTGAAGATTTTACTCATAGATGGGCACAAAACTATTAGAAAAATTCTGAGGCTTGAGTAAAACCTTTCTGGTTAAAATGTTGAGTTTAGCCCATTTTAAAATATCGGTCTCAAATCGTGTCGTTTAACAGAAGTAAAAGAGTTCATATTTTAAAAAATTAAAAAATTGATATTAAATCCAAAAGAAAAACTAGTTTAGGAAAGTTTCTAAAAGTTCTGATTTCTACCTCTAAAGAATTTTGTAAAAAATGTTTGTATATTTACTGTTCATTTAAATTATAAAAAAAATTTTTTTTTTAAGAAATGGAAATTTTTTACCAAAAATATATCGCTCATTTTAGCCGAGAAGTAGCCTGATCCTTACGTCAATCTTAGGATTACAGCCACTCTAAATCATTAAAAGTGGTAGCCTTTTAGTAGCCTAATATAACTAAGAATTTTGAAGTTTAAATTAACAATATTTTTGATTCCCTCTTCGATTTACACATTGTATATACACTTAGTTTTTAAAAAAAAAGAAAAAGATTATTTATTTTTCATAATGAAGAATGCCCTTACTGCAATCTCAACATAAAACGGGGCAAGTTAGAGATCCATATAGAAGTTTGCTCAGAAAAATCCCGGCTAGAGAAATACGGTCATTATCAACATCAAAATGATAACAAGGATCATAATTTAGCCAGAAAAATGGTATATACATTATATATATATATACACATTACTATTAATGTTATATAATCACAATATCAGGAAAAAAAAACTTATACGTTCTTAGATCAGGGGAAGGGCTAGCGACTTTATCTAAGCATTCTTTTTAAGAAAAAAATCAATCATTTTATATAACGAAGGCGAGATAAATTCGAGCTATTAAATATATTTTTGTACAAAAAAAAATGTGAGTTATATAAATGCTTTAAAGATTTTAATATATACCCTTAACCTGAACTCTTATATGCCCTACAGCTATTACAATGTACAATATTAACCTATCTAATTTGGGAACCGCTATAACTAGCGTTGTTAAACGGCTAACCCAATATTATAGCGGTAAATATTACGCGGGTCTGGAGATTTTGTTCGTAGATGGAAGAAAAGTTTGGAACATCTGTTAACGAAATCCCAAAACTTGCATAACATTTTTTGGCTAAAATATCGGATTAGCCTCTAAAGTAAACTTTATTGTGTGTATATTCATAGATTCTACATAAGGAAAATATATGATATCGCTCTCAATCATAAAAACATATGTTTATCATCATAATATAATCGATATAAAAATAAAATGTATGAATTATGATAATATTCTTATATAGCATTTATCACTGAAAGTTTAACAACACCAGCTGGAACCAAAAGTTTTTGCCCAACTTAGATAGTCGTCAAATTTATCGAGGCATTTTCTAACGCACAACAGTTATTAACATGAATTTGATTGGCACTCAAAATTTTGGTCAAATAAAATAGTTTTGACTGAATTTACCGAGAGCCCAAATAAGACAAATTTTAAATGTATCCACATATTCAACTGGAAAGAAAAAAAAATGCCAATCATATCCTTTCAAAAAAATAATAAATTAATAAAATAAACGATTATTTAAAAGATTTTTCCATTTTATAATTAAACCATAAATATACATTTCTATCCTTAATTACACGATAGGAAAAATTAAAATTATCGAAAGAAAATGGTCCGAAAAAAGTGATCCGTTTACCGCCAATCAAAAACGAGAGCAGCCCGTCAAACGGTAGCGAAACTTCTGACGAAGGTTTGGCTAATAATTTTATACAGATTAAGACTAATATAAGTGTTATAGATCTAAAATAAATTTTTAAATTATTATCAAAGAAGCCGAAGACTCTCGAATCAACGAATATCAACTGGAGGTCGAAGACGGGATCATGAAATTCCCCGAAAATTATAAGGCCAAGTTTTCTTTCCATATTTTTTTAGAGGAAGAAAAGAAATATCCCCTACCCCCAATTTCCAAAATAATATTTCTGCCACCCCTTCTCTAAACCCAAATTTTTACAAATTCATTATTTATATATTTTCAGGAATATAGAGATCAAAACTCGCTATTACGATCCTTGTACTAACCGAAATAATCACCTGATGCACATCCAGCAGAACACTATTTGGCTTAAGAACGTGAGGGATACCCTGGCAACAGCTGGTTACGTTGGCATGGTTAATTTATTTTATTTCTTATATTCTTTTCTCTATTTATTTTATTTTCCCCCTTTCTTTTAACTTTTTCATTCTATATTTTGTAATTCTTTTTCTTTTCTTTTCTTTTCTTTTTTTAGCATAAAGCTAAGAACGCTCCGGTGATTAAAAAGAAATTTTACATATCTTCTACCGACTCTGACAGGGAAAATGAAATGGACATGGATTTGTATTCGATACCCAGAATGAATAATCAATCATACGATAGAAAGTCTAGTAAAATGTAATTAATTTAGCATCCGACTTAAATGTTTCTTAATTCTGAATACTTCCTTCCCTCCGTCCATCCTTCCCTCCTTCCTACTATTCAGAAAAGCGCATATCATATCTTTTTTGGTTTTTTTAAAAAAAAGTATATGATAGATTTTTAAAAAGTTTTTTAACGTCCAAATTCGACCCGACAGCTCGTGCAGTTCTCTGATATTAATGATGGCATACCAAGAAAACGCGAAGATAATCTCTATATTCTTTTGAAAAATAAAGATCAGAATTTTATAATTAATTTATCTTTTTTTCAGATTTAACAAGGGGAGGGGGGGGATTTCGTTAAAAAATAAATAGCAGTTTATTGTTTAGGGTTCGGTTGTTAACCTTTTAAAAACCTGTTTGAACTTTTTGGTATTACATACACTTTTTAAAAATTATTTCATAGAGAACCGCATTTAAATAAAAAAAAATAGCCATATGCAATTAAAATATTTTTTAGATTCTACTTTGGCAGTTCATATCTATAAAGAGAATGAATAAGTCATATGGCGGAGAACATTTATAATTGCTATAAAAAAATACACTGTCTCAAAAAAAATATCCGTCCGAAAAATAGTTATTGACAGCTTTTCAATCAAAATTGCTCATCGATAATCTTAAAAAAAAAGAGTTTAAATATCAAGGTTCAAAAGTGTTGGGTCTAATTCAGGGTTAGATTTAGTTTCTAAATAATAATGATCAGAACTGGGATCCCTGGATAATTACTCCTGTCTCCTCCCTCATTGGTGAAGAATCTTAAAATTCTCTTTTTTTAAAAAAAAATAAATAAATAAAAAGATATAAGAACACTATTAAGATTCCCAGATCGCGGATGCTGAGAAATATACCGCCGCTAGAGGGCCAAAAACTTATGATCAAACCTGCGAATGCTATTTATGAAAGTGTTGGTAAAAGGGTGGAAAGAGGCGACCCCCCTCCTCCGCTAAGACCAAAAAACCAACACAATAAAATGAACGAATTGGAAAAGGTCTGCAACAAAATGCAAGCCAAGAAGTGCAGATATTGCAATAACTTCTATCCTTCGCCCACTGTTAAATTCTGTGCCGAGTGTGGAACAAAGAAAGATTGAAAAGAATTCAATCATTTCTTCTATTTTTTTTTTAAATGAAAATGAAAATAAATATTTTATAATGATTCATTTCAGGTTTATATAAAACATTATTTGTATATCCTCTAATTTCCCATTTTGTTTATATCATTAGTTTATTTACTTTCCTTCTTTTCTTTCTTTATCCCTATATTCGAAAGCTTCTTTTTATTATTTGTTTTCAATTTTTGTAAAGCGATAACGATAATGTATTAAGGATGTAACGTCCGATCAACGACAAAAATAATTGTTTCTTAAAATTGGATTCGCTATATCTTTTTGCTAGCTTGGATTTATTTTAAATCAGTATAGTTAGAGGTCTTGCAAAGCCCGGGCCATTATCTATTTATTTTTTCCCCCTCCAATGCCAATTAAAAGGTTCTTATATATGTCTCTCTTCTATGGCACAACGATCGTTTCCCATCCCTCACCCTCCTCAAATATGTAAAACTCTTTCATGTTTATTAGGTGCTTAAATTGATTTCGTATTACTTCTGATTTTCAAATCTTTAGAAATGACTCGAAATTAAATTTATAAATAAAATACTTATCATGCTCAAAAAAAATATCTTATATAATTTTTTAGTAGGTATATCCATTTTATAAGAAAAATAAATTTGACATTTTTATTTGTTTGAATTCTCATATTCCTTATTTAAAGCTACAGAAAACTTTTAAGCTTTTTCTAATGGGAAGTTTTTTTAAAAAAAGTAGAGATCAAAAGTGTAGGGATTGTGGTTGTGATAGTATTGATTGAGAAAGGTTGGAACTTAAATGATAGAATTGTTGATCAAGTTGAAGGAGATTTTTATTTTTAAAAATTGAATAAATATTGCATCCTAATTATTGATATCACAGTAGCTCGTATATAGTCAAAAATTCTTCTCTTTATAAAGGCAAACTAAATCGTATCTCCTTTTATATGGTAAAATATAGTCTCGGGCAATAAAATATAAACTTTTAAAATCAATTTTGAAACATAATAAAATATAGGTTAATGATGGCAATATACAGCGAATCGTGATTTTTACAATTTTTATTTGGTACATACTACCAAATACCAAAATTTATTGAAATGTAATAGGATATTTAACATATATTACAGGGGCGTCGCTAGCCTTTACAATCTCAGGGGGCTCAACTAAAAAATTTTAATGGGGGGCTTCGCCCCCATACTTCTTAATTTGAGATATTTATACATTGAACTTTTTTAAAATTTACTAACTCTAAATAATTATTCTGAATGTCATTTATTATATTTTGCATGCAAAATAAACTAGCATATAAATCTTTAAAATAATGCAAGACATTTCTAAAAATAATATTTTTTAATACAAAATCTATTTATTACAGTATAAAATATTTTAGATTGTTGGTATAAAAAATTTTGCGTCTAAAGAATTATAAATGATAAAAAAGGTTAATTAATTCATATATATGCCTCAATTGATAATGGTTTTTGAAAACTATATAATATAATATTAGCAACTTACATTGACAAAAGGTCATGAAACTAATATAACTCTATTACCATTTTAGATAGAATGGAATAATAAGAAAAAATTTATAGACCTACCAAATCAACAATTCTTGAAGAAGAGAATATAAACGACCAATCCAAATCATAAAACTACTATATGGTGGTTGAGCTTCCTCTTAGATGACATGATGGTAGCTAGATAAGTAATCGAGAAAATTATTGTATGATATTTAATTTCTAAAAGATTATCTTATATTTTTAATGATACATAAACGACTAAACAGTTGACCATTATTGCTTATCTAAAATATGCGATCATATGCTCTTAGCAGCTGTAGTAATAATCTTAAATTACATAGCCACACCAATAATAGATGCTGATTAATTTGCAATCCTAGCCATGACACTCACCATGGTAACCCATATCAGAATTTATTCTGTTAGATAAATTGATAAAACAAAAACACTAAAAACCTTTAGAAGAAATTATGCAAATATATTAAAGCCTTGAGTTATTTAAACGACAAAAATGCCATATTAGAAAGGAAACATTTTGTAACTACAAAATAAGAACCAGAGTGATATCATGAAAGCAAAGATTTTATAAATTATTGTAGCACCATCTCTAGTTAGTATACTATATCTTAAAATAATAGTTTGTAATAATATTAAAAATGTATTCGTATTAAAAATTTAACTCAAATCTATCCGAAGAAGAAGAAAATAGCTTGCTAAAAACACGTAAAAAAGAGAAGAAAAGATATCTAATTTATTACATCCATTGTGGGATGAATAATAATAATACGCTTAATTTTAATTATATTGTAAATTACTAGATGGCGTTAAATATATGTAAGAAAATGTTACTTATATTTATTATAAAAGCATTTATTAGAAATTAACTGAAATATAATATATAACTGTCAGATACGTCTGTAAAAGTGGCATTTTACCTAATATTTTATAAAAAATTATATATAATAGAGGATTAAAAACTATATGTCTACTTATTTTTATAAATAAATGTCTTATACTTATTTGGATTTGGACCTGGAAAATAATTTTTGAGACATGATAATTAATTTTAAAAATCAATAATATAGTTGATTAGTGATTTTAAACTCGGCTAAAATATTATATTAATTTTCAATTAATAAATGATTATATTTATTTAATTAGGGTTATATATAATTTAAATAATAAAAGTTAATTAAGCTTCAACTGTTAATGCTAAATTAATATTTAGTGAGTGATATTGTTATATTTTTAACATAGAATTTGATTGCAAGCTGACATAGTATAATTTATATGTAATAATCTAATCTAATAATTAAAATAGTAATTTAATAAAAATTAAGATAGTCTTATAAATTTTTAGATAAAATTAAATCTATATATTACTCAATAGTATAAAATAAATTATTCAGAGGGCAATTAAAAGCATTTATTTTTAGCTCAAGGGTATATTAAGGAGCCATTAAAAAAAATTTTTGCTTCATAGGGCTATTCAAACTTTTTAGGGGGCTCGAGCCCCTGCACGCCCCCTCCCCTAGCGACGCCACTTATATATTATAAGGAATCACTTGGTCGAATCCGGCCTCATATTTATCATCCACCAAGGGACGGAACCACCAAATTAGATTAAGAAGAAAAAAAATGATCATTTCTGAAATTCCAACCCATAACCATCGGATTGGCAAGCAACACTTTTGCCGACTAGTCCACAGACGCTTTCCAAAAATCACGATTTTTAATATATATTATAAATATATTTGGTAGTGCCTATACAAATGAAAAATTAAACAAAATACAAATTTGATAGGTAGTAGTCTTTAGCCTAAAATATAATATAAAATTAACGCCTCGGACAAAGTTTAACAACAAAAAGATATATCAGAAAAAAAAGTATACGTAAAGTAAAAAATAAAAAAAAGTATATGTAAAAAATATAAATATATATAAAAAATCATTTTAAAAAAAATGATCTTAAAAAAATATTATATTTAAAATTATAAATGTAAACTTTTTATTAATTCAACAATTATAAATACAACTAAAATAATTTAATAGTGTAATTAATTATAAATTTAAGGGAAAACTCAATAATTCATACAGAAATTTGTAATTGAGAACATATGAAATTATATTTTATTTAAAATTTATATGCGATGACGTAAGTAGACGCCTTCTCTTGGGTCTCCTGATTTAGTTCTTAAGGCTCTGCCAAGCTTTTTAATTAGGTTAAGAGCCTGGCTTCCAAATTATGTTAAGGTTGTAGTGACAACTGGCACGAATTTATATTCATCAGGAATATCCACATATATGTTCGTTTTAAAATCTTTTGTATATTTTAACTTTATTGATGTTGGAAGGTAAGGTGAAAGGGGGTCAGAGCAAGAAATACCACGCTAAAAATCAGCCATTCTCCCAAGGAATTTGTGTAATTCCATAGGGTCATCTGCCACCAGTAAAGAGACCAAGGGGTTCTAGAGTGGCGGGAAATCCACGGACTGTAAAGCCCGTTTTATAAGAGCATTACATCTATTAAATCAGATTGAACATCCACTGCTAAATATTCATCAAAGGTATTGACGGACAGTTTGACTTACTTGCTTCTTTCAATTGCGCACTCATATGAGACTGAGGCTGTCACATTTGCGAATGGCTACTGCAAAGCTGAATTCTTGGTTTGACAACTCAAGGTCAAGATTTTTAGAAGGAATAGCGTATAGGTATTCATATCTAGAACCTTGGTTGAGGGAGGCTAATAAGGCATGATCCTCAGAGAGAAGGGTCAAAAAGAGGTAATCAACGGACCTTGAAATCATCAGATTATCTCAATCCTTTTGTTTATGGGAGGGTGGAGGTTGACATTCATCGTCGACTGAGACTTTCCATATAATATAAGCATCGTCAAGCAACGCATCAGGCAAGAATAGGTGATCAGTTATTATTTTGGAGCTTGCCATTGGACGAGATGAAACCACTAATTTAAGGTTATGGGTGATCGTGACCCCATGCCTTCTTTTTTGCAGGGGAGAGTGGCTTGATGCGAGTTAAATTTGAGATTAGTTATTTTCTCCAAAATTAGTAATAATAAGATAAAAATTAAATAATTTATTATTACTAAAATAACACATTGCCTCCTAACCCTAACCCTAACACTTCACTAACCCTAACCCATTTAACCAGATGTGTACATTGCCGAAATAACCAATTCACCCTGCCCACCACTATTTAAGACATTGACGCTAACAACAGAATCATAATTAAATTTCCAGCTTAATGATGTATAGTATTTAGACCTGTGCGCCGACAAACTATCGGCGGCCGGCGCAATTTTCAAAAATTCCTATTGACGGCCGGCGGCGTGTTGATTTTTAGCCGCCATCAACAAAATAAATTTAATAATTCATCTTGATCCTCATTAGCTATATTTACTACCTGATTATCATCATTCTCAATAAGTTTAGATGTTTTATTATAAATTCTGAAGCTGAACAATTTTGCTCTATTAGATACTTCGACACAATTGCCAATTTTTGAAATCTTGGATCTAAAAGAGAAGCCAACACCTAGATAATTTTAAATAAAAAATAAAAGAATATACTTATATATTAATACTTGCAGATTACACACCAAAAATCGTAATGCAAGTTTTTTAGCATATTTTTCTTAAGTGACACTATCATTTACTATTAAATTTATTTCTAAAAAGTAACACCAAGTTTAAGTAGGCCCTTTTTGTACTGAAAAAAATTCGATAGTTTCTTTAAATTTTGAAAGAAATGCTAATCGTTCTTCTACCAGCTCAGATTTAATTTGATAATTTGAGAAAGTGCTTCCCAATTCTTTTCAAAACATTATTAATTAAATTCTTATTTAATCCAGATATGCTTTCTAGCATAATTAATATACTATGCCAACGTGTTGGGACATTTAATTTTAAGGTTTTTGCGTGGAATTATTGTTATTATTATCATAGGAATTGCCAATTTGAAAACTCCGGGTATGGATCAATGCTATCAAGATCTAACATGTCTGATGTTAAATCTATTTTACTTAGACATTTTTTTGATCTTCCTCGAATTCAATTTCAACCTCTGCAGTTTTATATCTTAGAGCAGTAATAATTTTTCTAATTCTTTTGCAAAAAAATTTCCAGACTATGAATTTTTTATTATCCAGAGTTAGGATAATAAAATTATTTATAGAATTATTAAATGTAGATACATCCATTTTTTTAAAATATGTAAAATTATGGTAACTTTTGGAAATTTAGATTTTTGATTGATTGAATTCTATAATGACGTCAATATAATTTATGATTTTAAAATAGTCGAAAATAAAAATTCATCAAAATCCTGATTGACACTAAAAAATTACAACAGTGATGTTCACCAATTATTAGAATAAAAAGGTATGAAATATGAAAGAAGTTTCTACGCCGGCCATGCGCAGCCGATATAAAAATCCCGGCGCACAGGTCTAACAGTATAGTATATTTTGATATATATTTTCATTTTCAGGATATAATTAAAAAGTTAATTGATGTTTAAATATTTAAGAAAACTTAGAAAATTTACTGATAATTCTTATTCACTATTTAAATTTGCAGTCTAATTCTTTTTTTTTTATTATTATTAAATTTCAAACAAAATAATCAGCTCGAAAGATATTTTTTCCTTTATAAATCAGGTATTTCCACTAATCAAGTTAACAATCGATTTCAGATTCGATTAAAATGTTATGGGTAGTAAGGGAAAAAATTTTTGCTATTAATACCTTTTGATATATTTAAATTTCTAATATACGATAGATTGTATATCACTTATAAAATAGTTAAATTTACAAAATATTTAATTACATATTTTGTTTAGAAAAATAAGTTTCCCAGTAATCGAGTGTTTGTATTTTGATTTTGTGATCTAAAATTTAAAAAAAAAACCCCAAATGTGATATGAGCAAATTGCCCATTGGTAGAAGTCGCAACTGGCCGAGAATATAAGATCACCGAGGAGTTTATATTTTGTTAATTTTTTAAAAAAAAAAATTATTATTTGGTAGAGGTAAGCAGGTTGCTATCTATATTAGTGGCGAAGAATAAGATTTTAATAAATGATTTGTTTAATGGGAAATAACACAATTTAAGGGATATTTTCCCATGGGAAGGAACAATTTATGACATTAATTGTATTAAATTATTTAATAATAGAATTAAATTCAAAAAAATATAAACGATTCGTTCTCGTTATTTGTTAAACAAAATATTTTATATTATTTTATTTTTATATTCCCAAAACCTTGAATCACGAAACGGTTTATTTTTCAAGAGAGAGTGAATAATCACAAAAAAAAATACCTTTATATCCCAGCGTAAAATAAATAATAAAAAAAATTGATTGTCAAAATAACCCCAATTTCACAATCATATATAAACATTTTTAAAAAAAATAAAAATTTTAATCACTAATTCCCTTTTAAAAATATAAAAAAAATAATATGAAGTATGTTATGTACTTAAATTTGATATTTAAGGAGCAGTTATAAAGACTTGATGGGTGGTGTAATAATATTTATGTTTTAGGAATAATGGGCATAACCGTATCGATATTCTATATTCGTTCTTTGGTTCCACATTCTCAAAAATGTGATAAGTCTTTCCCCACTTTAAATTTTATATATAAAAAAAAAGATTAATATGATGTAAGAAATTGTTGTTTTCTAAATTTAGAATTGCCAAAAAAAAAGAGATTTTATTAGAAATTTTAGGGTTTATGACAGAATTTTGATAACTGGAATAGCAATTTATTGAGAGTATTATAAATATTATTCTGCTAATTAGAACCTCTTGACCCAGTTAGTCTCAAATCTCCGAATTTTTATAGAAAAAAAAATACTAAATTTTGCTATTTACTATTGTAGCCTTTTTTGAAAAATTCTTTCCCGGATAGGTGGATACCATTGAAACGCAAAATAATTTAATTTCGCTAGCAAAATCCCAAAATACTTGTACAGCCAATCCGTCATTTAATTTAATCATACGCGCCATAGATATCGTTGCATTGAGGGAGAAATCACCTTCAAAATGATGCATATGTTATTAATTTATTTATGAGCAATTCGATATAAAAAGTACTGCACTACTAGTATAACTTATATTAGAGGTCAGCGCAATAAATTATCGTATCGGGGTCGGGTCTAGAACCTATCTCAAAAAAAATTTTTCACCGGTTCGCGCCGACCTTTAATTTATATATGTGATAAAGAGCAAATGAATTGATTATCGATGTTCATAGATTGGATAATTATATACTATAGCAATTTGTAAAAAAAATGAATATGAATTAGAAATAGGAGTAAAAAAAATTTTTTTTTCGATTTTATTAAATGCATACCTATTTGGATATTTCCTTTAAATCTTACATCTATAATATATAAAAAAAAAATTATAATAAAATATAATTTTCGTAATGGTTTTTCTTTAGAAGGAAGGAAGAAAATTAATTCTGAAATTTTCGGGACTTTATCATTAGCTTTTCCTTAAAGTTTTTTTTTTTTTAAATCTACGAAACAGATATTTTTCTTTACTAAAAATTTTTATTTTATTTTAGCTGTAATATAAAATCAAAATATTAAACATCCTAGGACTTGTTTTCACATTTATTTTTGTTTCTAAATTCAAAAAAAAAGTAAAATTTCTCTCTCTCTTCTCTTCTCTTCTCTTCTCTTCTCTTCTCTTCTCTTCTCTTCTCTTCTCTTCTCTTCTCTTCTCTTTTTATTGTTTTAAAATGTTATTTTTAATTTTTTTAAATATACCTGAGCAGGACCTAAAAAAAATCTATTTAATGCATAGACTAAATTTGAAAAAAAAAATATTATTCTTAAGCCCATCTGGGACTTTTCTCAGTTCTGCTTGGATTTATTTTGGGGTATAAAAAGTAAAATATTTATTTTATTAATACTTACCAACTTGGTAACCTCTTGGAATTTCATCTGTAAAAAAAAATCATTAATAATTAATAATATATAATTTCCATAATAATTTTATTTTAAAGGGAATTTTTATCATCTAAAATTCATTAAAATTTTAATGAGCATCAAGTAATAAAATAAAAATAGGGAAAATTTAACTCATCAAATAGTTTTCGTTTAAGGCATCAAAAATATTTGATTCGAAAACTTTTTACTTATTTTATCGAAAAAGACGAAATAAATTCATTCTAGGCCAAAACATATTTCTGAATTCTTCAAAAATTTATAATTAGGTTTTTTTTTAATGTTTTAAAATTTTTGAAATAGGTTTGCGCACAGCATCTACAAATTTATTTTCATAAAGGCTTTGTTTACATAAATAAAGTTATTGCTTCTTTCTTTCTTTCTTTCTTTCTTTCTTTCTTTCTTTCTTTCTTTCTTTCTTTCTTTCTTTCTTTCTTTCTTTCTTTCTTTCTTTCTTTCTTCTTTCTTTCTCTTCTCTTCTCTTCTCTTCTCTTCTCTTCTCTTCTTCTTTTATTCTTTTATTCTTTTATTCTTTTATTCTTTTTATTGTTTTTATAAGTTATTTTTTCTAAAATTTTGAAAGAAAAATTGATAGTTCCTCTATTAGGCCCGATATGTAAATTGAAGATTCGACAATAATGCTTTACAACAAAACATTATTAATTAGATTTCTATTCGCTCCAGATACGTTTTACGAGCATGACCATTATATTATACTATCTGGTTGGGACATTTAATTTTAATGCTTTCATTTAAATCACATTATTGTTATTAACATCTGGAATCGCCAATTTGAAAACGGGTATCAGGTTATAGATCAGCGCTATCAAGATCTAGCATATCCGATGCTTTTGTTGCATAGGCTTTTTCTTTGACGACATTATACAATTACAGGAGTAATGTGACCGATTGGAAGAAAAATTATGGCGCCAGCTTACGCCGCCTTTATGAATATCGGAGGGGAGCCAACTTGATTTTCCTAAACGGAGACGTTATCGGTATGATCTAAAATTCGGTAGTCAGCCTACGCTCATGTCTAGAGGAGAGGAGAGGAGAGGAGAGGAGAGGAGAGGAGAGGAGAGGAGAGGAGAGGAGAGGAGAGGAGAGGAGAGGAGAGGAGAGGAGAGGAGAGGAGAGGAGAGGAGAGGAGAGGAGAGGAGAGGAGAGGAGAGGAGAGGAGAGGAGAGGAGAGGAGAGGAGAGGAGAGGAGAGGAGAGGAGAGGAGAGGAGAGGAGAGGAGAGGAGAGGAGAGGAGAGGAGAGGAGAGGAGAGGAGAGGAGAGGAGAGCGAGAAACAAATTTTAAAAATATAATTTTAGCAGAGGCCTGCCAAGATTATATATAGACTAGATTTTGAAAAAAAAAGAAATTTATTCTTATACCCGATCTGAGACTTTTCTAGCTTCCTGCCTGGTTTTATTTTGGGGATGTAGTAAAAAAATAAATAAAAAATATGATTTATTAATACTTACCAATTTTGAATTCTTTCGTTAATTCCTGAACTGTAATTTATATTTAAAAAAAAAAAAATAATAATTCATAAATTAAATAATTAGTTTTAATGAAATTTTAATCACGAAATTTATTAAAATTTGTGAACATCAATATAATAAATAAAATATGAAAAATTTAACTCATCAAAATACTTTTTTTATTAAGCTGTGTGGGGGGGACATCAAAGATATTTAATTCGAAAAACTTTTCACTATTTTATTCGAAAAAACACGAAATACCTTTTATTTTACATTAAGAAAAATTTTTAAAAAAATATGGACAAAAAATTATTTCTAAATTCTTCATAAATTTATAAGTTAAATTCTTCAGATAATTTCTGAATAAAGGTTCTGTTGGCAACTATATACTTATATAGAATCAAACACAATAAATATATCTTTTTAGGTCTTTGTTTCAGATAATTGCTTCTTTCGATATAAACGTTATTTTTTTCTTAGGTATATTTTTTTTTAACATTAAAAAGGTATTGGTTCTTTTTTTTCTAAGATGCACCTCTATAAAAAATCAATGAGCCAAACATAAATTTTTAATTATATTCTATTATATAAAACGTGATTCCAAGTTTAGTTTCATAGAATATGATAAACTTAAAATTTTATAATTTAAAATTCTCATTAATTTTAATGTTAAAACTGAATTTAAAGCACATTATCTTAAGACAATAAAACTGAAATTGTAATTTCCAAATTATATATAAGATACATTATAATTTTTTTTTTAAATTTGTTTTATATAGCAAAAGAATATAAAAGATTAGCTTATTAACATTAAAATACATGTATATCTCTAAAATTTCTCCCTATATGAGGCTATAATATCTGCGATAAAGGCCTGGGTTTCAATTAAGGGAAAATTATTATAATATTAGATATGAGTATTTATCATCATAATAAAAAATAGAAAATAAGTCAAAGAGGTTAAATATAAATTATATATCAGGTCATTTATTTACGATTAAAATAAAACACGAAACTCTCGTACTATTATGAACCCCATACATTTTTACTTAAATCCAATAACTAACCAAATGAATGCATAAGTAATATTACATTTGAATGTTCGCCTAGAGGAGATGTGTCCCTTTGTATCGTTTTCGTATTGGGTGTAAATGTTTAAGTAATATATAGAATCTAGATCCAAATCTTCAATTTTAAATTCGTATCGTTCCTATTTTATTTGTGTGAAATAAGGGGAAAAAAAATATATATATTAATAAATAAATATGGTTTAAATAAGAGATTAGTATAATGTACAATTTGTATATTTTAATAAAAAATAATAAGAAATAACTGTTCCGTTAATGAATTTGATAAGTTGGGTATGATATCCGCCAAATCCTTCCAAAGTACAATTGAAATATTTTATTGGAAACTCAGGGATCAACGGATCAGGAGGTAAGAATCTTATCGTTACATTGTAAGAGTCTTGGATGTTATTTCCATTCATCAATTCGAGTGTTAAGTTTCTTATGCCATGAATTGAATCATTTTGCATTTTACAGCACGTGCTATTAGGTTCGAATTCTATATTTTTGTATCAAAAGTAAATCGTGAGCGTAAATATTTCTTAAAAAAATCAAAAATATATTATATTGCGTATTTCAATATTGTAAATAACTAGTCCCGATCATAGAAATCAATTATATAAAATAATCGCTAAAACAAATTAAATTCATATACAATCCTCATTAAGGTTGTTTTTTTTAGCGTAAATTAGAAATTGATAAAAATTAAAATTACTCATATTTTTTCAAATATAAACTATTGTATTATAAGACTTTTTTTTATATTACTCGTTAAAATTTTACTTTCAATATCCAGTTCCATCACATCAAAGCCTACCAAACCAGAGAATAGATGGTAGAATCATAGAATCAATTTGATAGCGTAAATAAATTGAAAAAAAAGCAAGAATTAAATTAATGATATAAAAATCTCAAAAAAACATTTTTTCTAGTTATTTACTTAGGCATAATTATTCTCAGAATTAAGGTTTATTTTATTTTACAGATATGAGCTATATAAATGTTAGCGAATTTCAAAAAATACACTTCCTTTATATGGGCATAATAATAAAAAGGTAGATTAATGCAAAAGCAATTTCAAAATATTTTTATTCGGGATATTATGTAAAAAAAAAATTAGTCTGAAATAATTTTTCAAAAATATATATTATCTTCGATTTATAACAGAGATATCAGTAGATATCATCTATTATATGGCTAGGCCCGGTTTAATTGATTCATTTTCTAAGACCCGGCCTTAAATTTTTAAATTTTTTTTAATCATTTGAATCATTTTGGCTGTATTATGCAAGTTCTTTTCAAACTATGAAATTAAAAAAATAGTTTTGGTCAAGTTTGTGCATCCTTCACATTTCTATTTGCGGTAAAGAGAACAAATTGCTTAAATCATATTTAACTATGTGAAAAAAAAGAAGTGATTTCTATATAGAATAAAGAAGGAAATATTTGATTTCATTAATACATACCCTTCTCGATACATTTTGGTAATTTCTGATCTGTAATAAATTACAAAAAAATATAAATTTTCCCATTATTTTTTTGAAATGAATTTTATAGTTTGAAAAAAAAATTCAATAAAATTCATATGAATAATAAATTAAATAATTTTAATAAAAAAAATTAGGGAAAAATTTTAAATCGTCAAATAGTTGGCATTAGGATCTGTCAAAAAGTTTTCAAAACTTTTTTATATAAATTACACGAAAAGATTTTATCATCAAATAAAATAAAATAAAATTCTAATTCCGAAATTCCCCACTTTAAAGCTAAGTGTCTTGAATAAGGCCTAAGGTTAATATAATATTAGATATCAGAATTTATCACCAAAAATACAATTATAAACAATTCAAAAGGTTGTTTTATAATATAAAGTATATTTTTCAATGTTTAGAAATAAAATACGAAACTTGGCAAATCTAAAGACTACATTCTATTTTACAACAACTAAACAAATGAATATATAAGAAACATATATTAATTTTTTACATTTGAATTTTTGCATAACAGAAAACTGTTTAGTGGCAATATTTTCGTGTTGGTAAAAAACTTCTATGGAATATGTTAAAGCTTGTTGTAATTTTCCTATTGTAAATCGATATTGTTTCTATTTTAATTTTAAAGAAGAAATAAAAAATAAAAAATAAAAATATATTAATATATATATAGATAATCATCATTTTATATGTTTCCTATATTAAAATTCTATATTTAATAAAAAAAAAAAGCAGAAGTAACCTTGAGCTGGATAGAATAATTTCTAATAACTGGGATACGATTTCTACCCTTATATTTATACAATGTATATTTGATTGAATTTTTAGGGTTCATCGATTCATGAGGGAAGAATCTTCCAGTTAAATTATACTTGTTATCATCACTTTCCACTAACTCGAGTGCAAAATTTTTTATGCCAATAATCGAATCCTTTCTCATTTTACAGTAGATGTCATTTGGTGGTAATACTATATTTTATTTAGAAGTAGATTAATGCGTAAATAATTCTTTTAAAATAAAAATATATAATATTGCCATTTTTTACAATTGTCAACTAGTTCCAATCAAAGAAATCAATTACATAAAATCGTGAAAAATTCATATACAATCTCGATTTACGTTATTTATCAGCATAATAATAAATTATTAAAATATCTTTAATTATAAATCAAAATAAATTCTTATATTATTTCGACTGTTATTAAATTTTGAAATAATTTATTGTAAATATATATTTTTACTCAGTAAACTTCCATAGATCTGATCCAACGTATCAAAGCATATCAAGCCTAGGGAATAGAAGATTTGTAGAAGTTAATTTTTTTGATAACATAAGTTGAAAAAAATTTACATCGTTATATAAAATTGAAAAATATTAAAAGAAATAAGGTTTAATAAATAATATCAAAAAAATTATTTTCTAGTAATTATTTTAACATAATTTTTCTTAGACAGAGAGTTAAAAAATATTTATAGATATGCTCAGGGCCTTATAAAAATTTTACGGATCCCAAATCCAAAAAAAAAATTCTCTTTTAAATACATGATAAAGAATTTTCAAGATGTCCTTTCCTTTATATTTGTCAATCACACTGATGTTCATTATATCTATTTATAGAGGTAGACCTTTTCCTTTCCATTTAATAAATGTTATTTTTAGTGTCAAAAAAGTCCTTTAGTGTTAGAATCTCCAATTGCATAATATTATTTTAAAAATCCTGATTATCCCTTTTTAAAATTAGACTAGAGCTTTTTAACAACATTAGCCCATCGAATTTTAGACACAACCTACCGGGGTAGCAGCTAGACTAAAAGTATCATGATATAAACTGTGTAAGAATGATAAGTATTCGAGCAGAAAATGTCGATATTTTATTTCTAAGTTCATGATCATGAGCATGCACTGACCCTCCTCTCTTACCATCATGATTCAGAGGAATACACACAAATTATATTTCAATGAAATAATATTCACTGAAAGCTTAATCGTCTATTAATTGTATTTTATTTAAAAAATTTTATTTAAAATCTTTATGAGAAAATAAAATTTGCAATAAAATATTAATATTTTGTTAGTAATAAAATATTTTAAGCCACGTTTAATTTATTTTTTTGTTTGTTTTTTTTTCAAGAATAAAAAGGGTTTTTTTCACCCCTTACATATTTCGTTTTACAAATTGTTATCTGTATGGTAAAATATTTGTTATAGGCTTGATTTTATATGGTAGAAGCCTAATTCCCTCTCTGTAATAGGAAACAAGAATTATTTTATATGATTACGTAATGTATAATTAATTTTATAAATTTGAATTGATATTTGGTGTGGGAGCCCTGATAAGACCTTTGGCAGCCCGGGGCTAAATGAATTAGGCCTCGTGTCTATTTAAATAATCCAATTCATTTAAATCCCCCAAATCAAATATAAATTAAAATTAGATAAAAGGAAGGCTCAAAGTACCAAAAATATTAATTAAAAGGGATTGCTTAACCATAATAACAATGTGAAAAAAAATATGATTTAGATATATATAATAAAAAATATTATATTTCATTAATACATTCATTACATACCCTTTTTTATACATTTTGGCTTCTTTTCATCTGTAAAATAGATTTGTATATATAAAATATAATTTTCCATAATTGTGAATTAATTTTATTATTTGAAAATTCTTAAATTACAAATTAATAAAAAAAAATATAAGAAAAATTAAATCATCAATCAAATAGTTTTCATTAGGCTCTGCCCTATCTCCAAAACAAAATAAAATTTAATTATAAAAACTTTCAACACGTTTATATAAACATGAAAATATTTATCGATGTAAAATTTTCCTATATAAAGTTCATTCTTTGATAAGACCTGGTAAAGTTAGTATAATTATAGATATCAGTATTTATCACCAAAATACAAATATAAACAAGTCAAAATATTCTTTATAGTATAGAATATTTACTTATGCTTAGAACAAAATATGAACTGGCATATCCAAATAATACATTCTATTTTACACAGATAAACAAATGAATAAATAACTATTTTTATATATATATTAATTACGTTTGAATGTTTGCACAACAGAAAACTGATTAGCTGTAACTCCATGTTGAAAGAAAACTTCTATGGAATATGTTGAAACTTTATCCAAATTACCAATTAGAAATGTGTACTGTTTCTTTTTTTTATTTTAAAGGAAAATTAGGTTACACATATATATATATATATATCGATAATCATTATTTTATAAATTTTACAGATTATGACCTTTTGGGATTTGATAGATATATTTCTAAGAAGCGAGGTACGTTCCAAATCCACATATTTATACAGTGTATAAAAATATTTGATTGAATCTTCGTGGTTCATCAATTCATGAGGTAAGAATCTTCCTCTTATCTTATACAAGTGGGAGTAATTACTTCCCAGTAAATTGAGTGTAAAATTTTTTATGCCGTAAATTGACTTTGCCATTTTACAGTATATTTCATTAGGTGGTGATACTATATTTTATTTACAAAGTAGATTAATGCGTAAGTAATTTTCTTAAAATATGAATATATATAATAATACCCCCTCTCAATTGTCAACTAGTCCGATCATAGAAAAATCAATTATATAAGTCCGTTAAAATAAATTTAAAAATCATATACAATCTCATAGACGTTATTTTTTTTCAGCATATAAAATTTAATTGATTAAAATAAAATTTTCAATCTTATTTCAAATAAATTATTGTATTAAAATTCCTAATAACATTATATATATAATATAAGACAATTTTTCTTTCTTACTCATTAAATTTCCATTGTTCAGATCCATCATAGAAAACCATATCGAGATTAGGAATAGTAGATTGTAGAAATAATTTTTTGATAACATAGTGGCAATAATTCAAATATCGTAATATTATAAATTAATATAAAAAAATTAGGAGAAAAAATAAAATTTAATATATGATCTCAAAAAAAATATTTTGTTGTTATTTCTACCTTAATATTTCTTAGAAAGTGAGTTCAATAAATAAAAATTTCTAAATATACTTAGGAGGATGTTGCTTAATAAAATGTTGAAGTAGGCAAATTTTTATTTATCATTTCTTCGATTTATGAGCAAAAACCTATATTACATATCACACTATCCGAGCCGATTTGTAAGAAAAAATTTTATTCTTAAAACCGGTCCGGTATTCTTTTTCTCCTATTATATCGGGTTTTATTTTTTGATTATTCATAAAACCCGGCCCGGAATTTTTTTAAACTTTGTTATTTTTTGAATCATTTTGACTCTAAATTTTGCAAGTTATTTCAAAGG